CAGATGTAGATGTGAAAGTCTATGTAGTCTTCAGCTGTATTAAGAACATATTTCCTGACATTAAGTGCTGTATGCAAACACTCCAGAATAGGGTTAACAGTGGGAACCTTATTTGATATTAATGAACATGGTAAAGTATGTTACTCTATTCCCAGCACCTTTGAGCCTCACCTTTTGGGACCAGTGCTCCTCTGAATACATCGATATATGTGGGATAGATAGTGCAGAGTGGACAAGATGGTGCTCACTGGGAGTACAGATTGAGCAAACCAGGAGATGAACATGCTTTGGTAGGAAGCTTTGTCAGTAACAAGTGTCAGTTTAAAAGGTCATTAGACTTTACCATGGTTTTATGAGATGTGAGAATGAAGATATACAGTGATAAATAAGTCATTAGAAATACTCTTCTATTAATGGTAATCACTGTATACCTCATGCTAACATGACTCTTGAATTTCCAGATAGAAAGGCTAATAATTTGAAATGATCAATCCTTATTTAAGTCTTCTCCTGACATTGTACTATCTCATGAAGAAATTACAGTTCAAGACTTAGCTGCTGTAAACTAGTGTAGCTCCATTAAAATGGAGTCCACTTGAGTCATCCCCAGAGAAGGACATGCATAAACACATACTACAAGACAGAAATTTTGTTTGTAGACACATTCTGACATTGAAACCAATCCAGCTCCATCAAAATAGGAAGCTGAGCTTCAGCAATGTGTCATGGAGCAGCAGGAAACCACCCTCAGAAGACTTCTTCAAGGGAGGGGTTGCAGTATGGTGCAGAGCTGTATCAGGAGGGTTTAGCTGCTGGTAAATCAAAGTTTGTTTTTTGTGAGCTGCACCACAGAGGGAGCCTGAAAGACTGTGTTAGAAGCAAACCCTGTGTGATTTCCCCTCTTCCAAGGAGAGCATTGAATGGGGTCCTTTGGCTCCAACTGCAGTGATTTAGATATGTATTGAACAAATATGATTGTACTGAGCTCTGTAGTATTTTGATTGCCAGGACACAAGAATCAAGTAGGGTCTCCTGTTTCCAAAGACAGTGGGGAGAAAATGAAGTACTGCAGAGGAGCATCACATATACAGACCAAAAATCCTCAAGGAAAAAAGTTCTTTTTGAAAGTCACAGGCACATATGGTGACATGTGCTTCCTGATACACAAGTGGCTAGTCACTAAAGTGTCTCACAGAGCAGGGGAGTTAAAACATACTGACTAGAAAACAAAGCCATTTCCAGGGGGGAGGGAGCGAGAGATGGCTTTTGGCAGTAACAGGTCATGTTTGCTGCCAATGCTGCCTTTGATTCCAATTCAGAGATCCTGGGGTTAAACCAAGTTTGCAGGAGGAGAGCAGGTGCATAGCAGGGAGGGCCAGGGAGTGCTCCTGTTCTCCTCACATGTGGTGTTTGAGAGGGCAGATGTGCACCCAGTGAATAGCACAGTGCAAAAACCAGCACTTTGAAGACCCTCCGAGCAGGGAGCAAAATGAACAGGAAGGTTGCTTTGGTCCTGTCCTTGGCACTTACTTGTTTCTACAGGAACAAGTCCATCTGGCTGTTGTTTGATGGGCTGCTTGCTTGCAGTCTGCAGGGTGTGTGGTTTGCTGACACTGTAAAGGCTCTGGATGTGTGATAGAGCATGTGGCTGGGGAGCTGACAGCAGCTTCCTGCCTCTCGTGGCTAGTGACAGATAAATAACTGCTCAGCTACAAGGAGGGGGAAGAAAAATGTTTAAAATGTAAGGAGTCAGAAGTTTGCTGAGGGCAAATGCATCAGCAGTTCTGGAAAATAAGCAGCTTTATTGGGTATTTGTAGGGGAACTTACTGCAGAAGGACAGCGATGCTTATGGGAGCACATCCAAGCACCGGCACGTAGCTGGAAACAGCAGTGGAGCTCAGGGCAACATCAGGCAGCCATTCAGTCATCATTCTCCACATGATCTCTGCTATTTGTATCAGCTGGCTCCCAGACTGACAGAAAAGTGCAAACCCATAGATGGAACAACAGGGTATTGGGAAATCCCCAGTGTGATGAAGCTTGAAAATATCCTTGCTGTCAGGAGAGACACTTCCTATACAGAGGGGATACATTGAGGCAATTAGGTGAAACTGACGTACTTGCTCAGTCTTCAGAATCATATTTAAAATTGGAATATACAGATTATAGAATCATAGAATGGTTTCTGTTGGAATGGACCTTAAAGCTCACCCAGTTCCAACCCCCTGCCATGGACAAGGACACCTTCCACTAGACCAGGTTGCTCAAAGCCCCAACAAACCTGGCCTTGAACACTGCCAGGGATGCGGCAGCCACAGCTTCTCTGGGCAACTTGTGCCAGCACCTCACCACCCTCACAGTGAAGAACTTCTTCCTTATATCTAATCTAAATCTCCCCTCTTTCAGGTTAAAGCAATTGCTCTTTATTCTGTCCCTACAGGCCCTTGTAAAAAAATCCCTCTTCAGCTTTCTTGTCAGCCCCTTTAGACACTGGGAGCTGCTCTCAGGTCTCCCTGGAGCCTTCTTCAGGCTGAACAAGCCCAGCTCTCTCAGCCTGTCTCCAGAGCAGAGCTGCTCCAGACCTCTGAGCATCTCTGGGGCCTCCTCTGGACTCACTCCAACAGGTCCTTGTCTTCCTTATATAAGTGAAAGTGTTCTTTCGTATCTGAACTGCTGGCAAACCTTGGCACAGTACAGCACTGGTGTGGTTTATCTTATGAAAGTCTGATCAAGTGTTCGGTGTAAATCTAGCTTTCTTTCGCTTCTCTTGAGGAACTCCAGAGTTAGTGCCCATGAGAACAGAATATGGCTTAGAGGCAGTTTCCTTAAGACTGTTCCCAGATTAGCAAGGGTGTGGGGCACCAGACAACCACCATCCAAGCAAACAGGTCACAGGATGCACTTCAGCTGACAAAGAACATGACTAGAAACTGGCCAGCTTTCCCTTTGGTGTGTAAAACGAATTCCAGTATGGGTTTCAGGGTTCCAGTATGAGATTCAGGAGATACTTGTGATACACTGCTCTTCTGATGGGCTCGTCCCCACCGGCTGTGAAGTAATCCATCACTGCTGACTAATGGTGGGTGGGATGTATCTATCACTCTTCTGAAGTAAATTTCCTTTGGAAAATGTCAGTGACTGCAAGGTGAAAACACTTTGTATAGGTAACTAATCATTAAACGAGACCTGACCATAGTACAGGGGGCAGAGCACTGATCTGAGATAGGAGAGGACAGTTGAGGGCACACTGTGACAATCCACTCACTCCTCATGACCAAGGACTGTGAATGCCAGGCTGTGAACTCTCCTGGCAGGAGGATTTCCCCCTTGTTTTCATGGGGAAAAAAGTGCAAAGTTTTTGTTTTCATTGTAGCAGAGAATGGAGAAACTTTTGAAATGGCAAGAACCGTGAGATGGGAAAGTTGCTTCCCATGAAGGCTCAACCAGGAACGTGTGCTGCCTACTAAGATGCAAAGGGCAGTCTACACTTCTGGTGTACAGAATGGCCCAGCTTTTCTGCAGGTTATGTAGGGCACTCAGCAGTGCTTCCAAGTCCCCTTCAGCAATAAGAAAAGCATCTGAGGGCTCTTTGTGCTTTCCCTGAGCAGTGCTTTGTACCAGGAGCAGTTCACTGTGGGAAATCCAGTTTCACTGTGTCAAATGGGTGCCAGTGGTCTCCAGAACATTTGCAGCTACTGGGTGAAATTGTAGTTAAGAATTTCAATGGCTGGTTAGGAGACTGCATTTAGTCTCCAGTTATAAATGGGTTCAGCTTAATTTCTAGATATTAGATTGAATATGGTCACATTTATAAGGTTCTAGTCTGCATCTGAATACTAATTTTGATACCAAGGGCAGTGTTACATTGCTCTCTGATGAAGGTTGGGAGTTGTTTCTGTCCAACCACTGGGGATCTGCTCCATGCCTCCTCCTTCTCCACAAGCCTTTCCACCCTCTCCCCTCACCTCCCAGCCCTGATTCAGATCACTTCTGACCTAGGCCCTCTACTCTATCACCCCAGTACCCATACAGCTCAGTAACCCCAGGATCCCCTGCCATGCATGCCTGCAGCTCTCCCTTCCAGTTTCCCCTTCTTCCCATGAGATGGCCATATAACCATAGTCCTCCACAAACTCAAATTTATGCCTACTTAATGCTTATTTATAGACATTCTCTTTAGTTTTTTTGGTAATTTTTAAGTTAAGGGGACTAAAACCCGAATGTTTTAAGACTACTCTGATTTTGCTCCAGATTTTGTTCCTTTCTCATGTCTGCTGCTACATATCTGCAAATCATGGACTTTGTGCTGTGTTTTGACTCTCTTTGCTCAACTGTGAAAACAGCCTTTACATGATTTATCTTGAGAAATGCTTGTCTTTTGCTGGTAGTGGAAGCCGTGTGTGAGGCACCTCCACAGCACTTCTTGTCTTCCTACTCAAGCTCTCTCTATTGTGCTGTGGGTGATTATGTTGTGGTACAAGACTTTTCCTACTTTATTGCTGAGCATAGAGGTGGACATCTTCACCTTCATTCCTTGTAATTTCAGATGTGAAATGAGGAAATAGGATTCAATTGCCTAAATTGAAGGCATTGAGACGCTCCACGGAACATGGGACATTTGCAACAGGTATGATGCAAGACCTGTGGGAGATACAGAGCTTTGTGGAGCCTTGCTCAGTTAGCCCATATGCCTTCCCTGATACATATTCCTGAGAAAGAAGATAGCAAAGTGGAGGATAAGTGTTTGTCATCTCTGAAGCCCACCCCAAATGAAAGAAACATCAGGTTGGAAGGCCAAGGATTTACCGATATATGTAACTGTCTATGAAGGCAAAGAATGGCCACTTGTGTACTGGGGCATCAGTCCTGGGATGGGATCAGCTGTGGGAAAACACTGTCAGGGCATTCATAATAATCTCTCTTTTATGCCCATAACAGGGGGGGTGGAACTAGATGATCTTAAGGTCCTTTCCAACCCTAACTATTCTATGATCTCTAATCTTTACAATGTGATGTTAATTATTACTTGAAAACAGCACTGGGCCAAATTCTAATGTCACTGGAGTTCTATAAACCTATAATAATTCTGCTTAAGCATTTGGCTTTCCTCCTGTGTAGTTGTGATCATAATGCTGACAAATAACAAGCAAGGTGGAGGGAGCCAGCAACTTTGGACCAAATTGAGATTGCACACAAAGCCTGGGTAAGACTTTCACCAAGTGCACTGAAGACATGAAGTTATCACATTCTTCTCTGTAATATTCCTCCAAAGTGGACTTTGGTAATCAACAACAGCAATGCCATCACCTGCCATTTACAAAGAAAATCTTGATGTTATAATAATGTTACAAAGGTGGAAAGATAGAAGCTGGTTGGCTGATGTTCTGTGGAAAGCTTAGCAGCATGCTTTATATACTGCAAGAGATGAGAGGGACCAGCTTCTTTTTCCATTGCAAAAATGAGCTCCAATGTCTTCCCACTCTGCCTAGTGCTTCTATTACACTTTCTTTATGCTACTTCAGTCTCTGTAAGTAGAAACCTGACTTCTACAGGGTCCTTTCAGTACACAGACATCTCATACCTTATAATGGCTGTATTTTACTCTCTTTCAGGTCAGGCACCTCTCCCGTGAAGATGGTAAGTGCTCTGTGAGCTGTTTTGAGTTTTGAAGCATTTTCATCTGCTTGCTGTGTGCCACCACATCTGAACACATGATGTTTTGTCTGTCTGGCAGCAGCGGATTTTGATGCTGGTGATACAATCAAAGACATTCCAGAAATAAACTTAGGTGAGTTCATATCTAAATTCTTGTAAAACCTGAAAAATTATGAGCAAAACCATGAATTTTTCAGTGTGGTAAAAAAGACACAGGTGACTGCTGGTCAGGTAGTTCATGGTAACAGGAGAAATATAATTAAGTGAGCTCTGAATTACCATCTTCCGGGTATAACATATAAATCTATCCTAGTATTGTAACCCTATGTAAACATGGGATGCAGAGAAGTTTGGACAGGATCCATGATGTAAGGCAGTATCACACTGTATCGATCGGAAAAACCCCAAGTTCCACTAGCTTCCCCCGCCCTTATATATGTTTTCTATATAATTATATAGAAGTTTTACAAAATGGAAAAGACCTTATATGTTTATTGAGCTTCTGAATAAGTGGTAAGGAAATCAAATAGAAAAGACACAACACACTTGTGGTTTATCAGGACAACACTCTACTGTCTTCCTCTATTTTTATATTTCTTGTAATACAAATTTCCATATATTCTTTGATGATTTTGCACTGTATGATATTCTTCCTGATGCATTACTCAATATTACCATATTCTCTAGAGCACTGTCTCATGGTATGACTGACTGCTAGCAAGCAAGAGGTTATCAAACCAGACAAGGATAATGGTTTCCACCAGATTTCTGCCACCAAAAGTGCAGCCATTGCTGGGTAGCAAATGTTGAGTAGAAACTACTGCTACTTTTAGGCCTGTCCCTATATTTCAGAATGAAGATGCTGGTCCTTCTTTATTTTCTGTAAATGCTCAAGGACATTTATCTTGCATAAGTAAGCTCAATATGGTTTATGAGATGAAATACAGTCAATATTTGATATTTCATTTACATTATCTGTCATTAAATTACTTTTCAGCTGCTGGACTGGACCTCTTTCAGGGTGATATCTTGCTCCCTGTAAGTAATTAAAAACTTTATATTTATCACTTATCCTAATTGTCTTTTTTTTAGTACAAATCAGCCTATATCCTCACCACAGATGCATCACCAGCTGCTAATTCCCTTTTCAGATAAAACCCTTAAATGCCCTAAGAAATGAGAGCTACAGATGGAAGTTCCCCATTCCCTATATTCTGGCTGATAACCTAGGTAATGCAAATACATTATGCAGACTTTAGTTCCCATCCTTATCTGCACTGGTGTCACTGTGATAAAAAACACCTGTCTTTTTCAGAACTGGTTCTTTCACATTAAAATTCACTAATAACTAGGTGGCTTTTCCAGAACTGGTTCTGTCACATAAAATTCACTAATAACAAGGTGGCTCCTTTATATCAAACCCATTTTTTTTCCTCTACAGCTGTCATAGCAAAACATAATTTAATCAAATTAATTTTTCTTTTCTATTTTTCTTTCAATCATTTTCTTTTGGTCCTACATGTATATCTGTGTGCATATTTTATCTCTTCAGAATGAATGATCTGCAGTTTGTGTTGTACTAAAGGTACTCTCCTGATGCATGTTTTCCAGATCTGAATGCCAAAGGAGTAATTCTCCAGGCGTTTGAAATGTTCCGTCTTAAGTCTTGCGTTGATTTTAAGCCTTATGAAGGAGAGAGCACCTTCATATTTTTTACAAAAGAGAGTGGGTAAGGTTTATACCAACTTCTGTTTAGTTTTGCTGTGGAGAATCAACTGGGAATTTATTTCACTTGACTTAGAGCCTAAAAGTTTAGTCTAGGTTTGTTGTCGGCAGAGAAAAAGAGGCCACCAAGAAAGCAATCCATCTTACTTTCTTACACACAAAGCTTGCAAGCAGCTGCCTCCCTCTGCTGACTGCAGAGGATATTTAGATGATGAACTTGGAATGGGTATATGGTTATTCTTTGATGAGGTGAATCTCAGCATTGCCGAGTTTTCACCAACTGCTTTTGCTTTCCTGCCTAGGGTTGCTGTCCCTTTCAGTGGTGGGTGAATTAACTCCCATGTACATTCTCTTAACTTACCAAGGATGTGAATAACCAAAATTTAGGTTTTGAAATCTTTGGAAAACAGTTAAAAAAAAAAAAGCTGTGGAAAGCCAGTTTATTGTAGTATTGCTAGCCTCATGCAAGCGATAGTGAGTGTGTTTTAAGGGTTTAGTCTGCTTTCAGAGCAGAGTATCTGTAAAATATCAAGATCAGCATCTAAATAATGATTTATGTCACTTCTTTTATATTTAAACCCTTTGGATATTACTTTAAATCCAAAGAGCAGACTGAGAACTTAAATAGATTAGAGAAAATGCTCCTTAACAGACAATAAGATCTTTCTCTTTCTCAGGTGTTGGTCCCTAGTGGGGGACCAACAGACAGGACAGAGCCTCTCTATTGGGGCAGGGTGTGACTACAGAGCAATTGTGGAACATGAGGTCCTGCATGCTTTAGGATTTTACCATGAGCAGTCGAGGACGGACCGGGATGACTATGTGACGATCTGGTGGGATGAAATTATTGAAGGTGGGTTTTGACCTTCAAGTCAGATTTTGTCAAGTGTGGATTCATCAGTATCTTATTTCCCCCCTAGATTTTAAGACCTTCTTAAAGTTATGATTTTAGAAAGACTGGGCCACACCGGAGACCACTGTAAATCTGTCTGTACGTTTAGTGGGATTCCGCTACAACTCCTCTAGTCTTTGACCAGAGACTGTCTAAGGCCAGAAGAGAGAGGCCCTGCTTGGAAGTCAGAGGACTTTATTTCCCCTTGGCCCCAGGACTGGTCTGCTCTCTGATTTTGAGCAAATTGCTTCCCCTCCCTGTGAACCTGTTTTCTCTTGCCGTGTAATGTAAGTTGTAAACTTAGTGGGATGGTGAGCTTTGAAGTTGCTTTTCTTTAATCAAAGGTCGTCTCAAAATATGAAAGATTTTTATACTTAGATATTCAGGCTTTCCTGAAACTGGGAAGATTTACTGTGAACATGGAGAAGCCTCAAAGTTATTACTTCAGGTGGGACACATAAACCAGAGCTCTATCCTGCTCTACTGCTGCAGGATCTTGCTTTCAGGTTTATTATTGTCAGATTCAGTGGCTTTATGAGTTTCAGCAGAGTCTCCACAGTTCCCCTGGTCCCCAGGCAGTTTGCCCTGCTATCTTCTATAAGAACTGGTTCTGTACAACTTAATGATCACTTATTCGAAGAAGAGTGAATGGGAGTCTATAACAAAATCTGAAAGGCGTGCTGGCAACGACACCAGCTGTAAACTCTTGTTCCCATTGGTGGTGCTTTGCAATGCCAGTAATGGCAGCAGTGCAGCAAAGGTGCCCTGCCATTGCTCGTATTCTGCATGGACAAGCTCATCTCTTCAGTCTTCAGAGTTAGGCACTCACCACCCTTGCAAATAAGTGAAAACTACATGAAAAATAGTCATCAGAAAAGAACAAGATTCAGAGAATGCTGTGTTCTCTTTTGGATAGGTAAGAACTGAGGTATGAGCAGTTTCTGCTGACCTCTAAGAGCAGTATCTGGTATTTTAAATTGTTCCAAGTTGAATGGTCTTGTGCATTACTACTTGCCTTTACTCGGTAGTCTGTAATGTCTTTTGGAGTGGCTAAGATAGAATGTAGATAGAATGGGGATATTGATTTTGCAGACCATTTTTATTGTCAGGATTAGCGCTAAAATCAATTCAGCTTATTACTAACTTGATCTTATCTTGGGTCATCTTGATGAAGATAATGATGATGTTAATAGTATCTAGACTGACTTTTGGACCCCTTTTTTCTGCACACTGTAACTAACTACTTCTAAAGCAAGAAGTTTTACAATGTACTTATAATGCACTGTTGTGGGCTCCATGATGTACAGAGGTATGGAAAAGTTCTACAAAACAGTGCCAGTTCTCCATGCTTTTTCACTTTCTTCCTCCTCCAAAAGAATATGTCACCGAATCCTCCTAATGTATCTGTGGTGTATTCAGTAGTTACAAATCAGGAATGTTAAAAAAATGATAAAGCTGATGGACTTTAGTGTGACTCTATTTTGTCCTGATATCACTACAGTCCTGATATCACTACAGTCAGTTCTGTAGGTTTCCATCCAGTACTATAAAAACTCATTTTCCAGTTAGGCAAGTTTGTTAAGTAGAAAACTTCTGCTATAGTAATTTGAAAGATGCCTGTTTCTCTAAAGAGGAATAAGGCTGATATGATGGTGCTCTCTGGTGTGTGGCTGTGCACATCTATTCGCGTAATTCTGATCAGCAACCCCAGATTTAACAGCATGGTAGCAGTTTTTTTGCCATAATGAATTCTCATAAACTGCAATGCAGATAGCTAGCTGGCAAGAAGAGATCCTCTATTCATGTTGCCGTTGACAGATAGACTGATAGACTTCAAGAAAACCCACAGGACAGCCTAATGAAAATGCCACCTTGCAGTATGGTTTATTTCTCTTAAAAACACATAGAAGTTACCCTTTGCCTGGTAATGATCATTACACAAGCCACAAGCCTGTGCTCTGCCAAGGTATTTTCCCCAGCTATTAAAAGTGATAGCACTCAATCAGCAAGATTCTCACTCTTTTAGATAAAAGATGTGATTCAAGTATCTGTAAGAAAACAATCACAAGCTCTTATGTAATCTCAGACCTTGGACTGAAGATCTTTGCACACAGAATGGACTTGCAGAAGGGAAGGGCAGTCTTTACACAGAGAAGCTGTAATTATCCACCAGTCCAGTCATGTGCTGTTTGTTCTTGGAGAAAGTCTCCTTATACTTCCACACCAAAGTATGTGAAGTGTCTCACTTTCTTTGTCCTAGCAGACACCTTCATAATGAAAAACTTTTCCTAAGAAGAAATTACTTGACCAAGAAACCATGAGAAACGTGTTTCTAAAAGACATTTCAATAGAAATATCATAGCAATATTGTCAATCTAGGATAAAAACACCCCCCCCCACACACACACCTCCATTGCTAATGTGTTCTTTGCTTCAAATAACAACAGAACCTGGAGCCATTCCAGGAGTGTCATACTTGTCTCCTTAATGACTGGAGGGCACCAGGGCCTCTACTTGTTCATATGTGATCTAATATTTGCATCAGTATTCTCAGGCTCTAGATTGGAGCACATTAATCCTTAAATTCAATTCCTTAGGATGCTTACTATCAGACCATCTAATCTGACCTCCTGTATATCCCATCCTTTACAGAACATTGATATTTGATTTTGAACTTACTGAAGACACATGTAAGAGTGCAGAATTGCAATCTAAAGACACTGCTTTGTCGTCCAAATGGCTTCATAAGCAAATCTTGCTAAATTTGAATATTTCATTGTAAAGTAACTGCTTTTGGATGTATAAATTCTGCTTCATAAAACTATCCAAGGGGTCATGCTAAAGCCATTTTCTTTCCAATTTCTCTAAGCATGAAGCACTTTTCTGTTCTTTTACCAGGAAGAGAGCACAATTTTGTGAAGTACGACGACAGCTCCATCACTGACCTGAACACCCCCTATGACTACGAATCACTGATGCACTATCAGCCATTTTCATTTAACAAAAATGAAAGCATCCCCACAATCACAGCAAAGATACCAGAATTTGATAATGTAATTGGACAACGTCTAGACTTCAGTGCCATTGACCTGGAAAGACTGAATCACATGTATAACTGCAGTAAGTCGTACTGTAACCGTGGCAAACTGTTTCTTTGTTGGTACTTGAGCCTGGCTGGTTCACCTCCCTTATATCTCTAAAATGACAAAAACTTTTCTTGGATGATCTTGGGGAGGTATGGGAGAGGACCTGTGGTATAAAGACCCAAACTGTTTACTCCTTTCTCTCCCCTCTCTTTGGCTCTGCTAACTTTCATTACTTTTGTAAAAGTTTGATGACTCAATGAAAGTCAATCCATTCATATCTTTTCTTCTGTGTTGCTCCTAGGGGTTCAGACGTGTGGTTGTGTTCTGCTCATGTTTGGGCAGCTTCATTGTGTTTTTTTGACATGAATACAACTGTACGTCTCCTTTTGTTACTGATGTTTGGTCTTTATTAGATTATTTTGCACCTGAGATTGGCTAAGTCTGGAGTACAACACTGTCTAGTTGGTTGCTAAGCTGATTGAAGATGTTATCACCACATGTGATTATTAGTGAGAGTTATTGTCCCCATGATCTGTCAACAGAAGCACTAATTTGTAGGCAAACTCAGCTGGACTGGTCCAAGGTAACTGAGTGGACTTTGCTTGAAGTGGAGGAACAGTGCTCGTACTCACCAAGCAGACAAGTGAGCCATGCAGAACCGTAACTTCCAGCTGAGGAATGGTTGAATACACCAGCACTGTTCATGAAGTGACTTGTTTCCCCAAGGCTTGCAAGTAGGCACAAAGATAGCTACCAGCACTCACTGTGTTTCAGCTGCCGCATGGGAGTTTAACCTTCTGCAAAGTGGTCAACTCTTGTTACCTTTATGCAGGGAATCCCTCCAGGAATCATATCTGACCTCTTTTGAGTCTTCGGGCTTGCCTGTGCTGTGGGTCGTCTTTTTTACTGATTGTCTATACTGCTTTAAACAAAACACCCTAAAATTGGAGCAGAAATTGAAATGAAATACTACTTTTGAAGTAACTGTGTGTGCATTTTTTTTCAGCTTCAACTCACACTTTTTTGGACCAGTGTTCTTTTGAGATTGAAAATATCTGTGGCATGATTCAGGGCACCAAAGATGATTTAGACTGGGTACATCAGCAGAGCAGTGCTGCAGGGCAGGAAGACCACACACTTTCTGGGCATTGCAGAGGTAAATAAACTAAACAGAATGCTTTCCTATGGAAAAGGGGTTGTTAGCTGGAGTAATGGTCCTTTGTGCATGTCTGTACTGGTATGGTGTGCTTTAAATACAGCATCTTTAAAATCTTTTCTGAACCTGTTATTGTAGTCAACCCTTGAGAAAACCCAGCATCAGCTACTCTGAAAACACAGGAATATAGGACCGTATTTAAGATATTATCTAGCAAACAGCCGAGTTGTAGCATTTCTAGTTAAGCAAAAAGCCCTTTTTCTTTTCATGTGTCTTGGCCCTGTGAGTGTCAGTTTATGGTTGAACTTCTGCTCTTGTTAATCTTTTTCAACACAGTGGAATGTTCCCCACACCAATAGGTGTCCCTGCCCATGGCAAGGGGGTTGGAACTTGATGATCTTAAGGTCCTTTCCAACCCTAACCATTCTATGATTCTATGATAAGATAAAGCGGGACAAAGAACAATCTTAACTAATGGACTTTTAAATATAACCTGGAAAAGGATTTACTGCAGCTTCCCAGGTCTGAGTAAGAGTTGGGTTACTGAATAAAACGGACCTCATAGCCACTCATAAATGTTCTGTTTGCTCTGTTTGCAAAGCGAATGAGAAGTTAAACTTGAGGAGTGCTAGTTCTGGAGGTAGAAGAAAGTTACAAAGTATTTTATGACAGAAGTTTAAGGATAATTTTCTTTCTCATATGGTAATTTTTCTGGTCTTCGGAGGAAGAAAAAGATAGAGCCAGCCAAAGTCAAGCTGCAGGATGCTGGCTTGCAACAGAGAATAAAGATTAAATCCCAATAGGCAATTCTGAAAAGCCAGGGCCTGATTTGTCATTAGACAGGGTAAACTAGTACAGGCTCCAAAAAAAAAAAGTTCCTTTTCTGGTAAATTTTGCCTAAGTACAAAATGGGCTAATCCTGGCCTAAAGCAGGTGAGCACTTGGCACAGGGTGCCCAGAGAAGCTATGGCTGCCCCATCCCTGGCAATGTTCAAGGCCAGGTTGGATGGGGGTTGAGCAACCAGGTCGGGTGGAAGGTGTCCCTGTCCATGGCAGGGGGTTGGAACTGGATGAGGTTTAAGGTCCCTTCCAGCCCAAACTATTCCATGATTCTATAATAAGTTCACGTGATACCAAGGTAAGGTATATGTGCAAACACTGAATCTCTTGTAAATGTCAGGATAAAAGTAGACCCTTGAAATGTAAAGTAAAAACACTTCAGAAAAGGTTAGTGGGAGATTAAACTAGAGGGGCAAGAACTCTTAAATATTTTCCTCAAACTGAGTTTTGAAATATCCTTGGGCAAGCTGTAAAAAAGATCTTCATGTGCAAGTTCAGAAGAGTGCTAGTTTTATACCCGGGCCATTTTTATTGCCTTTATCACTGGTAAGAAGTTATCTTATTTGCAAGATAATATAGCATACGATCTCCAAGATCTTACCTTTAGATTATCTTGAGTATAAATCAAATAAAAAAAATAATCTACTAATTACTTGCAGTCAGCACTGAACACTTTGTCTTATATCTCTGACATTCCTGGGACATCCAACCAGACCAACTAATGCAACATTGACATAAGCTGCTAGCCGTATGCTAAACTACTAGTCCTGTTCTTATCCTGGTCTATTCTGAATGGTGATCACATACTATTTCCTCTACTATTCATGTCAAGTGCTACACTTATGCCTACTACAAGAGTGAAGTTGAAATGGTACATTTGCTCCATGCAGCTACAGGAAATCTAGAGACAGTAACACCACACTTTCTTTGCAGATGCTGGCTATTTCATGTCCTTCAGCACCAGCTCTGGCAAGGCAGATGAGGTGGCAATCCTAGAGTCTCGAATCCTTTATCCAAAGAGAACTCAGCAGTGCCTCCAGTTCTTCTATAAGACCACAGGAAGCGTTTCTGACAAGCTGGTTGTTTGGCTTAAAGAGGATGATGGCACTGGAAATGTTCGCAAGTTGAGGAAAATTCAAACTTTTCAAGGTAATTGTGGTAATATGAAGAATATCTAGAGTATTAGAGGTGGGGAGGGAAGAGGTGCTTTACTGAGTCCATGAATGAAGTGGATTGGCACAGGAATCAAAAGATTTTCCTAAAGTTACCAGAATGTCTTGCAATTGGCTATGGATTTTAGCATTATATAAGGGCATTTAGCAATGAAACTGTGGGTTGTAATAATGTAATTTAGATGCTCAACAGCAGAAGTCACAATGTTCTTAACAATGTTACACTCAGTGACTGAGACGGACCCAAACTCTGCTAGAGATCTGTTGACTAGATCTCCACTGGCTATATTATCTAACAGTGAGCTGGTCAGATGTTAATACCTGTGCCCATCTGCAGTTATTAAGAATCCCTGCCTGATTTTTACATGGTTGGAAATATAAAAACATATGTAGTTCTGGAAATCTGAACTGAGTTCCCAGTTCGTGTGATTTTGCAAAATGGGACAAATTCAGCCATGGCACTGTGCCTTTGTCATGTCAAAACCCAAGACCTGTGATAACCTGCCTGTATCAACCTGCAGCAGTTTGCAGAAAGTGGCAATAACAGTTAATTCTAACACATTGGGTCTTATCCACTTGTTATGACTCGGCCCTTAGCCTGTTCCCTTTACGCTAGAGACTAACGTTCGCTAATGTGTGAAGAGTTCCTAATACAATGTCTCCAACGCATTTAGATGGTAAGGCAGTGTGAATATATTATAATCACAATGCCAGCTTACTATCTCTAGCCTTCAGGACTCTGTGAGAGGTCCAGTTGTCCAAAAATGCAGCTGGAATGGGTGGCTAGAGGTAAGCTGTTTCATCGTAGCACTAATCACGCTGATGGCAATGTTTTGTTTTGCTTTTCTTTTACCAAAGCGGATGATGACTATAACTGGAAAATTGCCCATGTAACCCTCAATGCTCAGAAGAAGTTCCGTTACCTCTTCCAAGGAGTAAAGGGCAACCCTACCTCTTCATCTGGTGGGATTGCTATCGATGATGTCACGCTGACAGAGACTCCTTGTCCCACAGCTGTGTGGATCATTCGGAACTTCAGCCAATTCCTTGAAAACACATCAAGTGATGTTATTCAAAGCCCCAGGTTTTATAGCCCTGAGGGTTATGGTTTTGGCATAAGTTTGCATCCCCACTCCAGAATCAGTGGCTACATTCGTATTGCCTTTCACTTGTGCAGTGGAGAAAACGATGGTGTTCTGGAGTGGCCAGCTCTGAACCGCCAAGCTGTGCTCACAGTGCTGGACCAGGACCCTGACATCCTGAAAAGGATGTCCTCAAGCAGAAGCTTCACCACAAGCGCAGATGATGTTAGCTCAGGTAAGTGATGTCTGCCTGGAGGAATGGGGAAAATGAAGGCCAAGGAACCTGAGTCAGAGGATTGAACATAGGACTCAAAAGTTGAGCAACTTTGGCTGTATTTCCCAATTTGGGACACTTTCTTGCGTACGACTCATAATTCCTGTCTATGAAAGTTCAACTAATGTGAAAAGTGACACCTAGAAGGTTGGTGTTATTATAAAGTGTCCCTGGGATGTCTGAGTTTGAATCTAAATACAGACTTCTAAGAGCTGGCAGCTCCCATCCTACCTGTGTTTTGCCCGTTTTGATAGGTGACATATCACCACAGGATGGAGTAATGACAGCAGGGTGCTGTATTCCATTGTTAAATCAGCAATAATTTAAGTTAAAACTGCACTTTGGAGACTTGGCTAGTTTGAACATACATGGTCTGAATTCACAGCATTCACATTGTAGCTGTATTTAAGAAAAAAATACCTGTGAGATCAGTCTGCACCACCTGAAGCCTGTCTTGCTTGGCTGGGTGTAGGCTGCAGATTACGAACACTTTCACACTTCACCTCTTAATTCTGGGTTTACATAGCATGTAGCACCATAGTTCCACATCCAGCCCTAGAATGTCCCATGGGTATGTTAATTCAAACAAGCAAGAACAACAGGACAATAGTGAGCTTGTATAGAATAAAATACTAGAGATGAATCTCCACCCGTCTTTGCTTTTTTCAGTGGAAGCTTAGTACACACCTTTTCAGTAGGAGCTTTTAAGCCTTAGGTGTGAATATGTTTAACAGAACCATAGCAATGAACAAGATCTGGTAAATTCTAAAGCATATGTATCTAAAAAAAACAGTAAGGAATACCCTTACACAGAAGGGAGCTCTTTCTTAGCTGGTGACAATGAGGAGGTAACTTGTGTTTGGTTCATCCTTAAGGGAAGGGGAGTTGTGGAATTTCAGTGCCCTCATATGGACTAAGAGCCTTCATGCAGACCATATCTGATGATCTGCTGGCACCCATAATTTGTCAGTCCTCTGTGATTTGTTTGGGTATTTCAGATCTGAATTTGATTTTACAGCAGGAGTCCCATTTAACACTGTAATGCAGAAATAAAGTGGCTCTTATTCATCACTTATATTCTCTTTGCAGATGGTAATAAAACCTCAATATGGGAGAAACCATCAATTGTTGGGAGTTTTGATGTGTCATGCAATTGCTATAGGAGTGTGTCCCTGGGGTGGAATAGCTTCATATCCCACAGCCAGTTAAGACGGAGAAGCTTTCTGAAAAATGATGACCTAATTATTTTTGCAGAATTTAACGGTAAAGACCCTCTTCCTGGTTCATCTTATAAAAGCAAATTGGTGATCCTTTCTATCTCTTTTCATGCATCCAAGTAACTATTGCCACTTGAGTCGTTGTCTCTTCTAATGGGTATCAACTTTTAAAAGCATTTCTGTGTCTTAGTTTCAGATGGGTGATGATGGTTAAAGTGACTATGAGTTCAGAGGAATCTAAATGGCAATAAGTTACAGAAGGTTAACTTCTGACTCAGCTTTAAGCACCCTAACCAGTGGCTGTGTCCATTTCTAAGCATTGAACATACTGAAAGGCCATCCCTATTGTTCATATTTTCAAACAGAACAGCCATACTTGGCATAATTTTTTGAAATACAGAATACCACTGATTTACCTAACTATTATTTTCTACTTTGTGCTTTGAATATGAAGAACTTGCTGTGGTATGGCAGGAGCTCTGTATGGCAAGAGCTCTGTAAAGGAAAAATGGAAAAGTACCCTCTAGTTCACAAAGCAGCCTATAAGCCCTGGTATGAAGAATACTACATATAGCATCACTCCTGTCTGATGTCTGTTTCCTCTTTTTCCTTTTTTTAAAGACCTAAGTCACCTCAGTAACACTGAAGTTCCTGTTGAAGCTGAACAAACTGCCTTCAGGAAAGGTCTCATTCTTGAAAGGCAGGAGAGAGCAGCTCAGGACATACAGCCCATTGAAGACCAGCTGCCTTATCTGCAAGACCCATGTTACCCAAACCCTTGTCAGAATGACGGAGTCTGTGTGAATGTGAAAGGAAGAGCAAGCTGCAGGTACCACAGACCACTTCCCTGCTTGCCTTGACTTGCACATCCCTCCGGGAGCGGGGGGAGGAACGGGGGGGCAGTGAGCAAGCGGCTGCGTCGTTCTGTGTTGCCGGCCGGGTTTAAACCATGACAATTCTTAAGCAAATGATGCAGCTATTAAGTATTCAGAGCTACACATTTCAAAGGTCTAAGCCACTAGGTTTTCAAGGAACAGTAGGAGCAAAACATGTCACTGCAGTGACCAGTTTTAGCTAGAAACCATAAGGGGAGGCAAAGAAACCACCTTCTCTGGTGCTTCCAGGGTATGTAGGTAGCTTCCAAATAAGGTGGGGATGTTGTGACATGAGCCCCTCTGATGGGAACTGCTCACCCAGGATACTGAGTGTGAGGTCCTTGGTGTGGACCTATAGGACAGGACAACACTCCTGATCCATGTTCATCTGCACTCGATTTTCCCAGGTGCCCATCAGGACAAGCCTTCTTCTTTACGGGTGAGAGATGTCAATCATGGCAGGTCCATGGGAACATCCTGGGACTGACAGTTGGTGGAATCGCTGGAACCATTGTCTTAACCATCGTCCTCATTTCTGTGATGGTGAGAAGATAAAGAGCTGTAGGAGGATAAATCACAGCCTGGTATTATTCCATAGTTCATGACACATTGGGTTTCAGTGAAAAATTATGAATACAGCTTGTCGAAGACCAGTCAGTGTATGTATGTGTGTATGTATGACATAAGCAAATAGCTGTTTACACTGTAACACTTCACAGTTCAAGAACATTACGTAGAACTGTTGTATAATGAAAGTTCATACACTGCCTTCCTTGTGTATTCTTTGAATGTTTCTTTTCTTCATCCAATAGGAAGCAGTCCAACAATGCTGAGAGTCCATGCATTTACTCTCAATGACAGTTCAAACTTAAATATTGGTAGAACCCCTCAAAACACTGGAAAAACTCACACAGAAGCACATATGTTAAGATTCTACAAATGTTTCTGCAGAAATTGCTCAAGAAGTCCATTTTGGGAATGGATGAAAGATGCTATGGCCACAGGTGAAGTGTAGTTTTGGGGAACTCCTGGAGCTCAAATGAAAGTAATCACCATGGGTTAATTGCAAATACTGCACTCAGCCCATGAGCTACAAGCTTAGGAAAAGTCAGGTGTTAAGCACTGAAGTCTTCTGTGGCTCCTCTCCCCAGGGAGCCTGAGCTACAATTAACTTGTACACTTCCTGGGATCAGTCACTGTAGGATGTAGCTGACAGCATCTCTTGACTCTCAAACATCACATCTAATAAAGGCAGCTTTGTCACAGCTATTGGAGCAGAATATTGAAAGAATGACTTTCTAAGGCTCTGAAAATCTCTATTTAGGCTTCTTAAATAGACCTGTACTGAAGTTGCCCGGAAGCACTGATTAACTGTAGTTTCTAGCATGAGACCTTGTTTGATCTGTACTTCTGAATACAGGTCAGTTCCAGGAAGGCCTCCTAACTCTGACCCCTTGGGAGAAGGACTATAATAAGCCAGCCTTGCTGTCTGAAATTACTCTGAGAAGTGGTTTTTGGAAACTCTAGATGAGATTTTTACGCTTGTATGAAGGAAAAGATCTGCTTTGTGTGCCAACACAAACAGTAGCTGAAGTGTTGGTCATTTTTGCTCGAGGCCAAAGCATGCATAGCTCTTTATTTCCTGTTCAAATTTGCATTTAGGGCATTCATTTTCCTAAAAGCAAACAGCTGTTTCCAACTGTCCCTTGCTTAACTCACACCACTTGCATGAGAACTGGGAATTCCGTTGTTGGATAACAAATCCCTTTCTCTCTAACCTCCACCCACAGGCTTTCAGTGCAGAACATCAGTCTTGCTTGTGTGCCCCAGGCCCATATGGGTGGTGGAGCCGCATTACAGACCTACAACCCTGACATGGGTTTGAAGCTGCTGATACTTTGCTTGCCTTACTCATCTATTTTACCTCACAGCATTGAACTGGAACCAACAGTGGTCCAAGGTAATGGAGACTGGAGATCTGGATCATAGGGAATGCAGACACCACATCCTCTTAGCTTCTGCAAAAGACCCCTGTAACCTACAGAAGATCCTTTGGAGCCACCAGGTGTCATCAACATTTCTTGCAGCTCTTGGCCACGGGAGAGATGTGAAAGGTACAGCTCAGACTGCCTGAGCTTTAAAGTGAGGGTAGTTTTGCCAGCTCCCAGCCCTAAGCTTAGTCTATCCCCTAGGAGGAGCTGTCACAGCAGTACTTTTCAAGCAAGGTGCCTGCCCTCTCTCTTTTGGGTTTTCTCATCAGCAGTGGCATCACTCAAAGGTGTGAACCTGCCTCATTCACTTACTCAGCCAGGGCAAAACAGGGTCTGCAGCCCAGGCTCCATGGGGCAAAAGGGGTGGAGAAGACTTCCACAGTGATTTCTAGGGCATTTCAGACTTCAGCTTAGGCTCAGCTGCTTGCAAACAACCGCATATATCTCTGCTCCTGACTCCACTGCCAGATCTGCTGCTGTAAGACTCTAACACTTCAGAGCATCACAGTGAGACGGCTCTTGCGTGGTTGTTCCTCATCCAAGGCTGGGACTGGAAGTAGACGGTTCTCATGGACACATATTTGCTTTGCTGTTAACACAACACCTCACCTTCCCAGCATGGCTGACTGCTGCAAACACACAGTTAAACAGGGGCTCTCAGTGCAGGCCTGGCTGGCCACCAGTGCTGCAGGCTAAATGATTTGGGCAATGCTTGCAGCAGTGCTGGACCAGGGGGAAACAAGGGGCCTCTCCTGAGATCGCTGCTTCAAGTGAAGTGACTGCTGCTGCCAAGCAGCATATGGAAAAAAATCCTGCAAGCTTTCATTTGACCCACACATTGGTTTTATCTTCCATCTGCAGCTGTGGGAGATGGACTGCTGCCCAAGGAAGGGAGGGAGCTGCCTGGCCTGCCTGCAGCACAGTGGACAATGCCGACAAGAAGTGAGCAGTGTCACCCCATGCAATGCACGCACCCTTTTCAAGGAGACGGCAGCTGGGCAGAGATACACCCAGATCACATAGTTCTCTAGCACTTTCCTGTTAGAAAGCCAGGGTAAAGCACAGGATACAGCTGATGTGGTTCACCCAGACTGTGGGCAGGACAGGCAGGTGAGCAGGGACCTACCAACCATGATGCCAACACTGCCTTTCACACACAGCATTTCTTTCCTTTGTGCAGCAGCTCTATCCCCTTCCCTTGGGGCTGATTTTTTCTCCCCAGTTCAGTTAACAAAGGGAAACCTCCTTCCTGCCTGACAAAAAGCCCCAAACCTAATGTGCTGAGATGTGCGCTGTTTGTTACCCTGCAAAGGGAGGAACGATCCAAGAAGAGATTGCAGGAGGATTAGCACTACTTACCCCAAGGAAAAAGCTAAAAAGAACTTGGAAAGAGTGTTAAAGTGTTAGAAGAAATTATCCTGGGTTTTGTGTAGGTTGTTTTGTATATTTTACCCTGGTTTTCTAACAGGAAAGTACTAAGGCAATGACACGTCCATGTGTGAGTCTGCCTGTCAGCCCCATGTCATCTCAATGGCATGGAATCCTGTTAGCTGTTGAGAACCAACTTGACCTTTCCAAAACGCAGCTGTTTCCGGACATGTTTCCTGGGACAGTGTAAGGAGTCAATATGCTGGCCAGACTGCTGAGCCACCAGAAACATAATTGGTTTCATGGCCCAAACAAAAGGTACCAGAACTGCACACTTGTGAACCACGGTTCTGGGTCACATTGATTTTCACTGCCCACTCTAGTGTGGATAAAATGGTCCTGGGCTCTTTGTATTGTTTGTATTGAAGGTTCTCAAAGTCTTTAAGAAATGGAGGGTAAAATCTGAGCTTGAAGCACATATAAGAGCTGTTCAGCAACCATCACAGTCCAAAACCTCTATGCAGGGCATGAGAGAGAAGGTATGTCTGTTCTTCAGAGAACTGTATGTCACAGTCCCCTCCTTTACTATTTTTCCTGATCCGGAATATATGAGGAAGGTGTCAAGGCAGTGACTGTTCTCCATCCAATGCTATAAAAGGTGAATAATCCCTTTTAGAGATCAGTGGAACCTGGTAGGGTTTTGTTGCAAACTCAGTACCTTGCAGTTAAGCACGGAGAGGTACACGAGTGACAGACTCATCAAGAAACAATCCCCATGACTGCCCCGACTTCAAGAAGGTAGGTGAATGCAGGAGTTTGGGCTTTGGTCCAGACAAAGGGAAGGACTGGGCCAGCTGCTCAAAGCATGAGACTCCCGAGGACAGCAAGCTTTGATGAGCCCACTTCTCACCTTGCCTGGTTCTTGCTGCTGGGAAGGGTATAGTGTTGTTGCTGCCATTTGTTTTCCCTTCTTCCACCATTCAGCACTTCCTTCCACTTTTTCTTCTCTTCCCTTATATCTGATCCGTGTATAAATACAAGTGAAGCCTTGGCCCCAGGTGTTTAAGACCAGCACAGTTAATTTCTGAGCTGCTTCTCTTTCATGAATTGTCATGTCTTTTGTAATGCTGGCAAGGACCTTGCCTTTCAAGATCCACCCAAAGACAGCTTTCAGTGCCAGACAGCTCAGCATCACATTGCATCCTGATTTCTCATTCACACACAGTCAAGACACAGGCTTAGCTAAACTGGGCAGTGTGGTGAAACCTCAGGGATGAAATGTCTGCAGAGATAAAGTGGGTGTGACTGTGCCATCTATATGGACTTGTACTTCAGAGCTTATGTCCCACACGGTGGGATTGTATGATTCTGTAGCAGGTCAGTATTGCACAAGCTTATTCCAGAGTGGGTTAGATCAAATTGCTGTCCAAAGGCAAATATTGGTTGGAATAATGTGGAAAGGTCTGATTTTCAGGTTTCCACTGGCCAGGGAGTTCAAAGAGATTCTGGATTTTCAAATATTTCTTAATCTCTGTACTCAAGTTCCAGTATTATATCAACATCTTCAAGGAAAAAGAAATTCCTTTCAATATAAATAGTACATTTGATTGATGCTTGTTTATTGTTTTCAGTCATTACCTGCCCATACCAACCCATTGCACATGCCTGTAACTGTAGTCAACAGTTTCACATCCTGGTTCATCCCAAAGTCCTGGGAATGGGTTCACCACTGTTAGACATATGCCTGATTCCCCAGTGACAATATGGGGCTGTACCACTCAACAGCAGTGTTTGATAATGGCCTCAAATATAAATCTTCATGATTACACCTACTATATTTTACATTAAGATTTGTAACATCTTTGTGCACTATAAATACTTTGCAGGCTCTCTCATAGCCCTCCACTTTAGGCAGGAGTCCTGCCTTTAAAGGTATACAGGCTTGGAAATAGCTGTTTCCAAAAATGTAGTATTAGAGCAATAATTTATATAAAACCTTTCATCCTGCCTGGCACATCGTGGTTTACATTCACTGCAGAGTTGACTCTCTGAGCCCTCCAAGTGTGATGCTCCTCTGAGAGGACCCTCAAACATACAGACTTTACACAAAAGATCCTTTACATACTTAACACTACTATGCATTAGATAAATGCAGTTCCCTCTGTGGTAGAGGGCAGCAACCATCTCCCTCTTACCACATATCAAGGGAAGGACACCTATAGTTAAGGATATAAAGCTTGCATTTCTTCAAAAATAGTGCCACATGGAGCTTTCAGTAGAGAGCTTTCAGTACATTCCATCTGAAGACCATGCAGGAATCATCATGGTCTTCGTTTTACCCAAGTTAAAAGTGAAGATCTGAAAGGGACCTTCATTGTGAATCTTTAGTTCCAGAAAGTCTTAAATAGAAAGTGGAGAGCGCTATACCCTATGCACTTTCCAAACTCTTATATGAGGGCAAGAGACAAGCTATGAGGTACTCGTGTATCTATCTACACAGGCATTTGGCATCAGTCTGAGAGCTGATAGAGGAAATACTAAAACCACTGGACAACAGCTGTTTATACAGCTGCAACTCATGGCTCAGTACTGCACAGTGCTAAGCACCCTCTTAAAGGCTGAGAATTCTTCACTCCCAAATGTCTTTTTCCAGCACTTAGAGGCCTTCAAATCCCTGTCATCTCTTCTGGGATTGGCAGCCCCTGTAAAATTCCACTTCTGAAAGCTTCCCTGCCTTACACGTTAACCAGAAATGATTCTTCCAGAAGAATGCACCAAGGCAGTTTACTCAAAATGAAGCAGTCCACTTCTTGATGACTCACAGGTACTTTTTGTGTGTGTCTTGGAAAGGGCAGAGGTCCTTTCAGAGCTATGTGATTTAGCATTTGCAGTGCCTCAGTTAAGCAAAGAATATGCCTTGGAAGTGTTTTCAGAGGAAGAGCTGGATGGCTCTGAAGAAGATACTCTGTATTTTCCTGCAAAACAAAGCATAGTGGTTAGGCATAAGGACAGATAGCTTGGGATATGTTGTCACTGCAAAGCAAGGACAGTTAGACTGTCCTGATGACGCAGTTGGCTTTAACTTGGTGTGCAGCCCTGGTACTAGCTGCATTACAGCAGTACAAGCAACCACAAAAGTCAGTGTGTTTGCTGACATAGCCAGAGTATGTCAGCCTGAACTGATGATTATGCCATGGGTAGTAATTTACTCACACAAATGCAGGGACTTAGCGGTCCTCGTTGGGCATGGTTGAGACGAATCCCATCTCCCTCCTTTTGTGACCATGAGGCTCTAAACTAAGACCCAAGTGCAGAAAACCCAGGAGCAGAGTGTGGAAGAGAGTGGTAATAATCCAAGAGTCTCAGGTGACAGCAGCATGGGAGGCAGTTGTGGGCAAGTATCTTTCTTGTGGTAGGAGGCTTCTGTATCTGGTCATTGTACTCATGTAAACTTACTGTAGCAGAGTAAGAAACCAACTTCTCCTTCCATTATCTGACTCATAAACTGCATCTTAAAAAGCAGTTGCTTGCCTACATTAAATTCCTCCTTATGCCACTTTGATCAAATGTCACAATCATCTTCTCTGAGCAATGGTTGGATGCAAAGATTACACACTTACTTAGGAAAGAAATTACTCATATTTCCAGCAATGCATCTTAACAAGATAAAGTCATAACTGAAATGCTGACATCCATAAAATGACAGCCAGAGAACTTTCAAAGAGATATAGCTCCAAAGTGGTGAAGAGTACATGAACAGTAAATGAAATGAGGAGCACTGTGTCAGGATATGCTTAAGCTTAAAACAAAACTCAGTCAGTGGGTTTTAGAACTGATGAAGCATACCACTTTCCAATACTTGTTTTAGGCTTTAAACTGAAAAAGGTAGATTTAGATTAAATATTAGGGAAATTTTTCCCTGAGAGGGAGGTGAGGTGCTGGCACAGGTTGCCCAGAGAAGCTGTGGCTGACCCATCCCTGGCAGTGTTCAGGGCCAGGTTGAACAGGGCTTGGAGCAACCTGGTCTAGTGGAAGGTGTCCCTGCTTGTGGCAGGGGGTTGGGACTGGATGAGCTTTAAGGGTCCTTTCCAACCCAAACCAATCTGTGATTCTATGAATCTGTGATTCTATGATTATGCTGCTAGCATTATGCTACAATCACAATCAGTTATGCTAGTGATACCAATGGCTTACTATAGTTCCTTTGTATTAGGAGGTTAAATGCCATCTACAGATGAATGGATAGACAGATTTATAAATAAAGAAGATAGACATATAGATAAAGATAGATAGATAGATAGATAGATAGATAGATAGATAGATAGATAGATAGCTTGACAGGTAAAAGAATAGACAGCCCCTGAGAGTGAGAATGCAGGCAAAACTTTGTGCTTCAGTAGGTGAGATTTATTGTCACATACCTGTTTTCCCACATAAGTTGTTAAAGGTTCTTGAAAATGGATAGCTCATAGCAAGCATTGGTGTCACCAGGATCAGAGAGGTTGACTGTAAGAGGAAAAAAAAGCTTTTTGTCAAAAGCCTGGAACATTCTTTGCAGCCACATTGATGGGGGAAAAATATAAAACTTAGCAATAAGATGTCCAGTAGCACAAGCAGGCAACCCACCAGTGGACAAGTTAGATGTTTGAGAGGCATCAAGTTCACCCATTTTCATGTTTATGATGGCAATGAAGGAGACCAGCTTTGAAAGAAACTGCGAAGAAACAGCAGGACACAAACAACGTGTCTCTAACTACTGGCCAGGGAAGATGGGGTGGGCTCCAGAGTCTATCATCAGACATTATAGAGTTCTGGTCCCTTTTCTGGAGGAATATGTCAATTAAGGCAACCAGCAAAGCTGATTTATGTGCTTATGAATGGTCCTTGAATGCCTATAGCCTGAGACAATCAGAGGCAAATTTAACTTGGCACACTAGAGGGCATTGGAACACAACTCTCTACAGTCCAGATGGGAAAGAAGAAACGTTTGCTGCTAAAATGAAGTTTATCTTTTGGTTCTGGAATGGCTTGGGATTCCCCTAAAGTTGTGTTAAAAAGAATGTATGGAAAACGTGGGGTTTTTTTTGTTCAGTCCCTCTCTGTTCATTAGGTTGTACCATGGTGCAGAAATTAAAGCAGTTTTGTGTATTGTCACCTGTATCATAAGGTGGTAGAGGAAGATGGGATATGAATCATATCTAAAAAGTCTGATCAAAGACTTTGATCTTGCTTAATTTATTCCTTATCAGCAGAACTTCCAAGGAAATACACCAGTTCCCACTGGGGCAGCTTCCACAGTGTCAACTCGAGCTGGAAGAGTCTGAAAAGGAATTCAGAACTGAGGTCCAAGACTTGTTATCTCTACTTTATTCTGCTGGATGTGTCAGTATAAGATGGAATGAAGAAACTGACATGTTTAATGATAGCTGTATCAGTTTTTCCTGCCTTCCTTCCAGTATCCTGAGAAAAAAGAATTTTTTTCCCATAGTCAGAGTAGCATCACGTACAGCAGATGTCCTTTTCAAGTCAGAAAGAAGGAATGGTGCTGGGTTCCCAGGAGTAATCCTCCTGTAGAAAGCAATGGGATACTTGGAGTACTGGTTTAAAAAAATCCATGTGGATTATTCTGGGCAGCCTAAATGAAGAAAAATGAGTGAGAAACTGCATCTTTCCCTTTGATGCTTGGAGCACTTAAAACTTAGAGAGCTGCTCTGTCTCCTTCTGGGCCTTCAGCATGTTGCTGGAGGGGGCATGAAGAGAGGTCACTACATTAATGATATAGATGATGGGAAAAGTGCACCTTTACCAAGTCTGCAGAAGATACAAAACTGGAACGAGTGGCTGATAGATCAGATGAGTCTGCTGTCATTCAGAGGGACCTCAACAGGCTGGAGAAATGGGATGACAGGAGTCTTATGAAGTCTGACAAAGGGAAATGCAAAGTCCTCCTATCCCTCAGGAGGAACAACCCTATGCACCAGGGCATACAGGGGACATCTAACTGGAAAGAACTGAAAAGGTCCTACACCTGGATCAGAGCAACCCCAGACACAGCTACAGGTTGGGCAGAGAAGAGATTCGGAGCAGCCCTGCAGAGAAGGACTTGGGGGTGTTGGTCAATGAGAAAATGAACATGAGCCAGCTTCAGTGTGTGCTCGCAGCCCAGAAAGCCAACCGTATCCTGGGCTGCATCAAAAGGAGTGTGACCAGCAGGTTGAAGGAGGTGATCCTGCCCCTTTATTCTGTTCTCATGAGACCTCACTTGGAGTATTGTGTGCAGTTCTGGTGTCCTCAACATAAAAAGGACACAGAACTGTTGGAACAAGTCCAGAGGAGGGCCACGAGGATGATCAGGGGACTGGATCATCCCCTCCTGTTTGAAGATAGGCTGAGAAAGTTGGGGCTGTTCAGCTTGGAGAAGAGAAGGCTGCATGGAGACCTCATAGCAGCCTTCCAGTATCTGAAGGGGGCCTATAACGATGCTGGGCAGGGAGTCTTCATTAAGGACCATAGCGATAGAACAAGGGGTAATGGGTTAAAACTTAAACAGGGGAGGTTTAGGTTGGATCTAAGGAAGAAGTTCTTTACTGTAAGGGTGGTGAGGCACTGGAATGGGTTGCCCAAGGAAGCTGTGAATGCTCCATCCCTGGTGGTGTTCAAGGCCAGGTTGGGCAGACCCTTGTGTGACTTGGTTTAGTGTGATGTGTCCCTGCCCATGGCACGGGGGTTGGAACGAGACAAACTTAAAGTCCTTTCCAACCCTAACTATTCTATGATTCTATGAAAACAGAGACAGACTTTTCTCTTTGGTGCCAACTAAAAGGACAAGAGGCGGTGGGAATGAAGGCAGAGCCAGGCTTTTCTTGTTTGTGCCCAGTAAAAGGGCAAGAGGCATTGGGAACAAACAGAAATACAGGAAATCCCACTTAAGAAGAAACTTTTTCACTGTGAGGTTGTTCAAACACAGGAAAAGGCTGTGCAGAGAGATTGGGGGGTCTGTATCCTTGGAGCCACTCAAAATTCAGCTGGACATGACTCTGACCATGTTTTGAGTGAGAGGGTGGTACTAGATGATCTCCGGAGGTACTTTCCAACTTCAGCTGTTCTATGACTCCATGGAAGTTGGAGTGGTTTGAGTCAATGCTCTGAGCTGACAGTCTTATTAGATGCCTTAACTCCTTTGAGCATGTGTACCCATCTGTCTTTATTATCCTCATTTTTAGGTCTGCTTCCTAGTTCGTTAGCAATACCTGTACAGACTTTTCTAAACCCATATAATATTCAGATACCAATATAAAATTAACCTCTATTGTCATGTAAGAATGATGCTAGCATTTATCACCATTTACTTTTTCCACTATAAGTGCCAGTAGTTAGATTCTGATGCTTTCAATCCCTTACCCATCCTTGTGTGGCTTCTTTACTGAGGGATTATGAATTGCAGAAGTGTAAGGTGAAACAAGCATTTCTGGACACAGAGCTATCCATCCTCATGCAGCCATCCCAGATACAAGTATTTTATTCCTGTTGGCTGAAACTTTTCTGTATTCTGTGTCTGGGAATGTGGCACCTCTTACGCAGAAGTAGAGATGAACACACCTTTGGCATCAGCAGGAAGAGGGTAATAAACAACTCTGTAGTCCCACCATGTCTTCAACCAGCAGAGTTCTTTGTGAGGTGAATATTAGTCCATAGCCTCAGCTTGTGGCCCTCTCCTAGGGCTGTAATACATGCCCTGGGTCACTGAGGCTATTACCCCCTTGTGTGGGTATTCTGTTTTAGAGTTTTGTCAAGCCTCATTGTAAAAGCAGGCAGTTCTGTGGGTTTACTCCTTTGTGCACACTGAGAGCCTGTCTCCCAACCTCTCTAGAGGGCACCGGTTGCTTAATGTCATAAACAGAATTGCACTTGGTTGGATGCAAGTATCCTCTAGCCCAGTTGCTTCTTATCCAACATAGGCTATAGCAGAAGCCCTAGGGAAGAGTTTTATAAAAGCAATGCAGCAGTTCTCCAGAATGTTGTTTCCCCTTCTGCCTTTCAGAGATACAGGGACTTGTGGAGGCAAAAGGCAGTACTTTGGTGTTTAACAGCCTTTAATGGCCTATTAAGCTTACACAACATGAAGTAAATCAAGGCTCAGAAGGGGATACAGAGCACAGTTATTTTCTCCTCTCTCCTTCCAGTTGTGGGCAGCAACATGAGAACAAATAGACAGACACAGTCCACTAATACATGGCTCTGTGGTTGAATAGCCACAGAGCAGGTCAAAATTTTAAGGGTAAGAACCAGAGAGCATGACAAAAAAGGATGGTTGGTGTTTACTACAGGCTGCGCAATCAGAGTACTACTGATGAAACCTTCTTACTCCAGCTTGCAGGAGACATCATGCTTGCAGGCTCTTGTCCTGCTTGGGGACTTCAACCATCCTGACATCTGCTGGAAAAGTAGCATGGCGAGCTATAGGCAATCCAAGAGACTCCTGGAGTGCATTGAGAATCACTTAAACCAGGTAATAGAGAGCCCTACCAGAGCAGATGCAATACTGGACCTGATGGTCATCAGCGTAAGCAAGCTAATTGGTGATGTCAAGATTGGAGGCAGCCTGTGATGCTGTGATCATGCACTCATGGAGTTCACAGTCCTGAGGGAGATGAGACAGCCAAAGGATACAGTCAGGACTCTGAATTTTAGGAAAGCCAACTTTTAGCTCCTTAAGGAGTTAGTCAAGAGGACCCCTTGGGAAACTGACCTCAGGGACAAGGGAGTAGAATAGAGCTGGCAGGTCTTTAAGGATGCTTTCCAAAAAGCACAAGAGCTCATGATCCCCAGGTGTGAGAAATGGGGTAGGGAATGCCAGCTGGTATGGCTGAGTTGAGACCTGCTAGTCAAACTAAAGGGCAAGAAGGAAATGCACAGGCAGTGGAAGCACAGACATTGTCCTGGAAAGAGTAAAGGGACACTGCCTAGTTGTGCAGAGGTGGGATCAGGAATGCCAGGGTGTAGCTGGAGCTGAGCTTGGCAAGAGAAGCAAAGAATATCAAGGGCTTCTTTAGGTATGTCAACCAGAAGAGGAAGGTCAAAGAAAGTGTACCTCCCCTGATGTGCAAGACTAGAAAACTGATAACAACAGACAAAGAGAAGCCTGAGGTATTCAGCAACATTTTTGTCTGTCTTCACTGGCAGGCTCTTTCCCCACACCTCTCAAGTGGATGAACTGCAGGGCAAGGACTGGGGAAGCAAAGTCCCTCCCACTGTAAGTGGAGATCAAGTTTGTGATCATTTGAGGAACCTGAACATACATAGATCTATGGGACCTGAGGAGATGCATCCCAGCATCCTGAGGGAACTGGCTGAGGTAGTTGCCAAGCTACTCTCCATGGTATTTGAGAAGTCACGGCAGTCGGGTGAAGTCTCTGGTGACTGGAAAAAGAGCAATGTCACACCCATTTTAAAAAGAAAGGACCCTGGGAGCGATGGACCTTTCAGCCTCACCTCTGTGAATAGGAAGATCATGGAACAGATCTTTCTAGGAGCTATGCTAAGGCACATGGAGGACAGGGAGACGATTCGAGACAGCCAGCAGAGCTTTGCTAAGGACAAATCTTGCCAGACCAACCTAGTGGCCTTCTATGATGGAGTTACTACGTTAGTGGACAAAGGAAGTGCTATGGATGTTGTGTGCCTGGACTTCTGTAAAGCCTGCAATACAACATCCTTCTGTATAAATTGGAGAGGTATGGATTTAATGGATGGACTCTTTGGTGGGTGAGGAATTGGCTGAATGGTCACATGGAGAGGCTTCAAGTTGCAATATCTCCTTTCCTACTCATAGCTGAAGGGCATCTTCCCTGTGAAGTTCCCTTTGTATTTCCCTTAGGTTGTGAATAAATAATAGCACCACTGAAATTTTCTGTTTTCTAACTTAAAAAAATATAATTTACATTATATTTTGAGGTTTATGTCTTGTGGAATTTAGATCAAATGTCCACCAACCTTCTTCTAATTATTTACTAATTATGGGTGAAACAATGAACTTTGAAAGTGTGGATCTGCTTATGCTGATAGTATCTTTTATTCAGCAGTAACTGAAATACATTCTTAGGTCATACTTCTAACCTTTGTTTGCTGAGAACTCCATTTGGACATTGAATTCCTTTTCAGCAGGGCTTCTTGTATCTATTTGTTAGAAAAATATGATCAATTGGTAAATGCAGAATTGTGTTCGTATTCCAACAGTATTTTCATGCAACATAAAAAATAATTTGAATTCTTACCTTCTTGTCCCAGAGAGTCCCAAACACCAAAATGAATAATCCCTAGGAGACAGACAGTTACATGAAGTTTGATGATACCTTTTAATTGCAGTACTTAATAATCATGTCAAACATTGTCCACGCTGACAATTTAAATGCTGAATTTTTTGACAGAGGACATTTTTCGACAGAGGACATTTTTCTAACTGCATCTCACATAATGGAGTGTTAATATGGTAGGAGTTTTCCTGGCCTGGCCTATTTAAACTGGGTGTATATCTCTTCTGTAGAAGTGGCACAGATAGTTTTCCAGCACTAAACACATTTAGAAGAAGGCATCGCTGTGCATGGAAGACATGCCCTGCCTATGCTTCCCAGATAAGCTAGCAGTTTGGACTGAAGCATACAATTTTTATGCTGTTCTTTAGAGACAGAGTAAACATAACTACTGTGTCCTTAAGAAATCCCATTGTATTGGGATCCTACTGGCCACCTAAATATGTTGTTCTAAAAATCATACTGACTGAAAACTCTCAGTCATGTGTATTCTTTTTATCATTAGTACTATTCATCTGTTCTTGGTGACTTTTATGTTCTTTATACTAATTTCTTGAGCTTAATATGATGTCTCCAGATGCACTAAATGAAACCAGACAGCTGAAGCTTGCCCACCTGAACATAACAGGGCTATTTTCCTGATCTTCAGGAATGAAATTCTTCCCAAAGGTACTTACAAAGTTGTAAGTTATCTTTACATCAGCTTTATCTATAAGGCACATCTGTTAAGGCAGCTGGGAATATGAAATGCTGCTGAATTCCTGGAATGGGTTTTCCAAAGAGCCCTTTGGGAATAAGGGTGTGTAAGGTAAACCTGATCTCTCCTAAACTGTTTTTACTGTCTCCAAACACAGCACTACAAGAATATCATTACGTGTTAAGTGGTCATACAGTAAACAAAACCATATGTATATGCAACTCACCTGCAAAGCATTGAGAAGAGCAAAGAGGATGTGGAAGATTCGATGACTGTTTTTGATGATGGTGGCAAGACCAAATCCCCAGGTAAGGCCTAGTAGGGGTGTCAAGATGGCCACACTTTTGCCAATCTGAAACAAAGAGTTCCTCTCCTGCCTGTTTGACCTATCTCCAATAGTTGGCCTCAGTATTTTTATTATAACAACTGCAGTGATGAACAAATTCATAGCCACAATGATCAGGGCAGGTATGACAAAGGCCAAGAGAGCTTTGCTGTCCTTCCAGTTGAGCCAGCAGACATCCTTTCTGGTGTAATTGTTCCTTGGCAGTGTGACAGCAATGGTGATGGCTGCAATGGCAAAGGGGCATCCATATCCCAAACAGAATGCCACTGCTTTCTGGGAGGTCTTGCTTGTGTTATGCAAGATGAAGACCAGTCTGTAGAAAAGAATGAGGCCCAGGCTGAGCATCCAGAAAAAGACACACAGGTAGAATAAATGGATGAAGAAGGTGGCCACTAAACAGATACCTCTGCTCATCTGTTGGTTTTGGTCATTGATGGAGGCAGTGACAATGAACCAAATATCAGCAATCAGAAGTGATGTAGCTATGTTGAGTATACAGACATGGCGCATATAGGAGGTTGTGTTGTTTGTCACGTATTTCCAGACTAAAGATTCAATTATAATGCAGACCACCAGACTCAAGATTGAAATAGACAGGCCAATGTAGGTAATGTAATCTTCAAAGATTAACTGGGAGGATTTATCAGGTGACATCAGAATGGAGAATGATGTCAAGTGATTGCAGGAGCAAACGACATAACCTTCTACTTCTGTGGGGGTGCAACCATTAGTATCCCAGCCCCCTCCAGCTTTGTTGAGTGTGAAGTTCCAGAAGACACACCGGGGCATCTTTAGAGACAAGTTTTTCTTTGCAAAGGTCATATTAATATCGAACTTCTGGCTTCTGTTGCTGCTCACTGTTGTTGATAGCAGTAAACCATTCAGATACTCAGACTCATTCTGGAGCAAAATATGTCCAAGTTTTGAGTACATCACACTGACAATGGTTGAATTTTGGGTTAGAGTCTGAATCTCCATTTCATCAATGAGCACATTAACTGTGAGGTTTTCTGTACTGCGAAAGTTCTTATTATAATCCATGTTGCTGTTTTCTGTGACAACTATACCTTGTAGCTGAAGGCTGTTTGCAGAGACAGGAGGAATGGTATTATTAACTGGTTGGAGACGCAGGGAAAAATTTTCTACTGATTGAAGTAGCAAAGAACTTTTGAGTATCTCCTCTTTATTCAGGTCTTCCCAAACTTTAGCTGTAGAATCAGCAACAATGAAGTCCACTGTGGAGAGGAAATTCTGGAACAACAAAAGAATAATGTTGTTACTGAAATACCATACAGGTCACTGTTGTTTCTGATAGTAATTTCTGTGTGGTCCTAGAACTGGCTTTTGAAAAAGCCCAGCATTTTTGTATGTTGCTCAATCCATGGGGAGCCTACACTTGTTAACCCTCTGAATGATCTATTTTCAAGTTAAAGTTTCCAGAAATGGAGCTGTGTGGTGCTTTTTTTTTTTTTTTTTTCATATATATATATATATATATAAAACTTGGTATTTTTCTTCTCCATCCTTCTTTTTCTTCTTTTTCAGGGTTTGTGCTACCTTTAGTTTGTCACTTTCTATCATGTAAGGTTCTCCAACTACAAAACATCATCTCTTTGCTCAGAAGAGCAGTGCTTTTCCTCTGTACCTCACAATCAACGTTTTAAAGTATTTCTAAGATTTGCTTTGCTAATCATTTGTTGTAACATCTAATTGATTTTCCTTGCTTGATCATGGCCCCTGGAATTCACTCTCCCTAACTGTATTTCAAACTTTTTTTCTATTTCCCCTTCTACACATAGAATCATAGAATTATGGAATTGTTTTGATATTTTAAGACCAATCCAATCTCCTTGCTATGGGCAGGGAAATCCATCTTGACCTTGAACATTTCTAATGATGTGGCATCCACAACTTCTCTGGGAAACCTCTTCCTATGTCTCACCACCCTCATTGTAAAAACTTTCTTCCCTATATCCAAACCAAATCTCCCCTCTTTTAGTTTAAAACCATTGTCCCTTGTCCTGTCACTACAGGCCCTGGCAAAAAAGTCTTTCTCCGTCTTTCCCATAAACCCCCTTTAAGCACTCAAAGGCTACTACAGTAGCTCCCCAGAGCCTTCTCTCCTCCAGGCTGAACAACCCCAATTCTCTCAGCCTTTCTTCACAGGGGAGTTGTTCCAGCCCTCTGATAATTTTTGAGGCCCTCCTCTGGACCTCCTGTGAGGGGTCCATGTCTATCTTATACTGGGGAGGGAACTCCAGAGCTGTACGCAGTACTCCTGGTGGGTCTCACTAGAGCCAAATGGAGGGGGAGAATCTTGTCCTTCAACCTGCTGGCCATGCCTCTTGTTATGTAATCCAGAATACAGTTGGTTTTCTGGGCTGCAAGTGCACATTGTGTACCCATGTCCAATTTCTAGTTGCTAACAGTATCACATCCTCTCTTTCATGCACAGGCTTCTTGTCTTCATCATTTGGACCTTTTATAAAATCTTCTGTATCTTTGCTGTCATTTCATATTTGCTCTCTTAATGCTTAATACTAAGTAACTGTGGAAATTCTTCAGGGAGAACGTCATCCCCTGTGACAGAAGAGGCCAAAGGGCTTTGTAAGAATAGGTAAGACTTAAAATAAAACCTTACTTGAATAGTGAGCTCCTCTGCATCTGCTGGGATAGAGGAGATCATATCCAGGATGGTAACAATTGCGCCTAGGTTTGCAGGAGAATTGTTTATTATGTTTTGCTCCTTTCCTGTGTTTTCCTTAAGCTCCGCAAGGTAGTTAGGTAGGTTTGCTTTTGCCTCAGGACTGTTGACCAAGGACTGGAATAGAAGATAACAAACAGCACACCACATGTTTGCAATTTGCCTAGAGCTTGATCTTCCTACATAATGGCTACCCCTACAATAATAAAATAAACAGAGCCAGGGTCATTCTAGACATGCTGTTAATGTTCAACTCTCTGACCCTCCAGAACACAGCATCCTAACCTGGTCTGGGTTAATATCTAGGGTATTATGAAGAGTGGCGTCTTCATGATAGAGAACAGTCTCGTGTCTGTGCTAACTCACAGACTCCTGGAAATAAATTCCCCTCTGGTAATTTTGGGGGAAAAAATAGTTTGCCTGGGCCAAAGTATATGAGGGGGCAAAATCTAGCAAGTGACAAAAATGTATAACCGAGTAGCTGTACCTCTGCCTGGGACCTTGCTGTCCCTAATTTACTAAGATAAACATAGGAAGTATTTGATGAAAGAAAGACAATTGTTCTCATCTAACCTCACTGAGGGAATGGTCACTCTGGATGGTTTGTACAAGCAAACACCACTATGACAGGACACCTAGGTTGCAAATCAAGGCCCAGCACTTATCTGTGAAGTGTAGTGGCTGAGAGGAAATGCTAAACAGGGCCTGGGTCTGAAGTTGGGCAGTGGCCCAACTGCATCATTGTTAGTGTACTCTGCAGCATGCTTTGGGTTTGTGGCAACAGCATTCCCACCTGAGCATGGTTCAAGGGACTCTGCAGGCCAGTGACACTATGAATAAGGTCACCTGGCCAGGGGAAGAGGGTATTAATGTCTGCGGACGTTAGCCATGCAATGCCATGTGCCTTCTGGGCCAGAAAAGGGGACTTAGCCTCATGGACTTGTGCAGATATAGGTACCATTCTTTATATCTTTTAGAACATAGTTATAACTATTTGATTTTTTAATGCTTCATATATTTGATATTATTATATTATTATTATTTTATATATGCTAAGCAAAAAAAAAACCCAGCAAAAATACTTGCTCTCTTCCACTCCCACACCCCAGCCTCTAGAAAACTCGTAAATGTTACCTCAGCACTAGTCAGCAGGTTGCTTATTGGTACAGATAGACAGTCATTCCTTTCAAGCTTCCAGGACTTGCCAGAGCACTTGTAACTTTTACTGCCTCGAGTAAAACCATATGGATTATCCGACTCACAGCATGGCTTTATTAATGTGTCTCCTTCTATTCCAATCCCAAAGCTGTCTGAGCAGGAAACTTCCTTATCTGTATTGAGAAAAAGACATGGAGGTGGAAAACTAAGAAGCAGGGAGATGAGTAATTTACACCCATCAAAACTGTGACATCCTGAAGTTCAAAAGTCTTTAAATTAGTGAGGATTTCAGCTTGCTTTGTTCACTGATTATTACTTTTCAAGGTCTATGTCTTGCATTTCCAACTTTTTGTAATCATGAAATTGAAAATAAAATTTAATAAAGCTCCTTGGTTTTGAATATTGAATTAAACCAACAAACCAGTACCCAAAGTTTTAGGATTTGTCTGTTACATTGCAGGGCTAGATAGAGGTGGAGTGGGATTATATTGACTGCTATGTGAACAGTAACTCACACGAAATTTATTCTGCTGTCTCTGTGCTGCTGCAGCACTAACAGGAAATTCATTAAGACTTTGTGAGATCTCAACAGCTTTTGATGAAGAGTGAGGCCTGCTAATTGGTTTCATTTGGTTTGTAATATCAGTAAGTATCTGCTGCTTAAAGTGAATAAAGTGCCTGCAGTGAAATCTGGACAGATGCACAGATTCAAATTAGGCACCACTACTGTGGAAAACCCAAAAATTTCTACATTATGGGGATGTCCAACATTTCTTTCTTTCCAGTTAAGTATAGAAATGGAAATATTCAAACTGTGGTCAGAACTGAACATTGAAACTGGATTTAGCAAAGTTGAATTGTAATTATCCATGTGTTTAAAGTGGATATGCCCTCCCACAGGAGGACCTCCTGAACTAGGTGACTTCTTCCTGAGGCATCACAGACTTTTATCTTTGTTAAATTGTTGGAGCAAGCTGGGAGCTGCTTGACCACATTTCAAAACAGGAGATGAAGCTTGGTGGTGCACGCTGCACCATACAGAAGTAGGAACAGGAGATCTATAACTAGAACTACAACTGTAACTATAACTACAACTATGGATATAACTGTAACTATATGGATGTAGATACAAGAACTATAACTGCTTGGGAACATACTGGGGCCACTGTCAAGTACAGTGAAGACAAAACATGCTGTATAATTTTCTTTTTTTTAATTACAGCAAAATTGATATTTTCCTCTGTATTTCAAAATTTCTCATCAAATAAGGAGACAAAAAGTCTTGACTAACAAAACCTGCTCCTGTTAGGTGTCACCAGCGGTAAATCTGTCGCATCTGATTTAACAAAGATATTGGGATTTCCTATTTAAAAGCTTTAAATAGTAACATTTTTTTCTTACCAGCTATCAGGTGCAGTCTTGCACTTTCACTGTTGACTTCCTGTCCAATGCGGTTAATGAACTTGCAATGTGCTCTGAGCTCTTTTGTCATGCTGCATTCTGTTTCTGTGTAATTGCACATGTAGCAAAACAAATTTCCCTTTTTCTTTTTCTCTGTATAGAAGGATTAAGATAATACAGATTTGGGGTCAATCAGCTAGCAGACAGCAGAAAGCTTCAGGAAAATTTTCTTTTTGGTGGGTCCTAGAGAAAAAAACTTCCTTTGTGGAAAACCTTCCTTTCTGTACACTGATCTCTGTTTCTTACTTCCCGTGTAATCTGGCAGCTGTTGTGTGATCAGTACCTTTTCAAATCCTGCCCAAACCCTCCTTTACTGTTCAGGAACCAGAGTTTGCTTTAGAAACTGCTTTGGAGAATGGTTCTTCCTGCTTCTGCTTCTACCACAAGTGTTTCGTTTAGGCTAGGATACTTTTTTGCTGCTTTTGCCTGGTTCTTTGTAACTCAGGATCTGAACCACACTCCGATTGCTTTTCACTATGCCTGTGCCTGAGGGTCAATGAATGCAATATCTTTCAAAAAGATCTCAGCATTTTTCTTTGCAACCAAGGGATCCCTCAGTCTCCACCTGCTTTACAGTTCAGGCTGGGCTTACACTCCTGCATGTCTTCTGGGTTAGTTTAGGTGGGCCTTTGGTTTTGTTTTCAAATTAACTGTTTTATAACCCACTTAAAAGTTTCTAGTCTATAAAAAAATGCCAGGGAAGCTGTAGAACTGCCTAAATTTGAAGACATAGAAACCTAGGCTTTTGTGCCGTTAAAGATATGTTACCTGTATCCTTGTAGAAAACAGAACAGTTCTTTGAATTGCATTCTTAATGAGTTATTCTACATTTTTCATTAGTTAGTATATCTTGTTAAGTAATGTTTCCATGATAGTCTAAAAAAGTGGCAGTGTGGAAGATAAAAGCAAATAAATGCAGTCCAGCAATTTCTAATCTGAACAATGGTGATGATGAGCACTTCTCACTGCCTGGCAAGGCAGACCAAACATTGAATTTACCTATTTAGTATTTAACACTACATCAATGACTTCATTTGCTCTTCTGTTAATCTCAGACATGCTTCACAGTCATGGTAACCTAACCACTCTAAGGAGTACTTATGAGTTGTCCTAATAGCAGTAAGATTGAATTGGTTACAGAGACCTAACTGAAAACAAAAAGCCAAGGGACTGGGTTGTGACACATAATGCAACTAACGATTCTGCAAGTTTATGATTTCTTACCAACTTGAAGTTCATTTTGTTGAACCACAAATGTAACAGTGTAATCTTCCTTGGTGTTAGCACTTATGCAGCACTCGAGGGCTTGTTGTGTTTTGCACCTCATAGGTGCTGCAATGGGGTCTATCAGGATGTTCTGCTTCAGAGGCAAGGAAATAACCTCAATTGTCACATTGGCAGAACTCTCTGCATGCTTCTGGGACAGTGTGCAGATGTAGATACCTGAAAGGAGTGATACAAAATACACGTCTCAGTCAGTGGAATTGCATCTCAGTTTTTGCCTGGTCCTGAGCGCTAAACTGATCAAGTACAGTGCTGTTGGCAGCATCGTTTCTTACTGTCCTCCAGCAGTTTTAACTTTAACTCCTGCTTTAATTTATTGTGGCCAGACTGCACAGTGATTTGCAGGGCTAAGGGTGCTATAAATGATGGAGAAATTTCATTGCCTTTGTAGCCAATATAAACCGTGTTCACTCACCGCTCCAGTCCTGTGTGGCAGTCTTCACTGTGAGCACAGATGTAGCTGGAAATTTGCTGGCTTTGATGCATGCATCACAGTCTACTATTTTTGTGTCATTTCCAGACTGGATTTTCCAGCTGATACTCTCATAATTGCTCACATCACTTTCACATGTTAGATTGAACGCATATCCTTCTGAAACTGCTGAGTTTACACTTGAAGATATTGTTACACGGGCTAAGACAACACAAGACAGACATCACATTACTGAGAGTCACTTGCTATAATCAAATCCTTGCAAATGACATGTCCCAAAGAGACCACTTATGCATTACAGTGCTGGTGCTCTGTTACATGCTACCTGACTCTTACCTGTCCGGAAATATGTCACTCGGATGTTTTCACTGCGCCTGGCACCATATCCAGTCTGTAGCTCACATGTGTATGTAGTCACTGTACCTGACTTTTCAGGTGGGCATAGTGACTCATTGATGTTCAGCTTGTATTCAGTGCAGTTGTCACTGAAACTGGAGACTCCTAAAGAGAAATAAACATTCCTTGAAGGCTTGTGGATGTCAAAAAATACCTGGGCTTTGGAAACCACAAAGAATCAGTCCAGCTACGGAAAACCTCATGGTTTTATATGATGGCATGGCACTTTCGACACATCATTGCTGAAGTTTGTTTACATTTTTTACTCGCTTTTTCAAAGTGGTATTCCAAAGGCCTAATTGTCTGCACAGTGCTGGGCACTTACTGCCCAAATCAGTCTGAAAGCATCAACATTGCTCGGCTAGCTCAGGATAAGCCAAAATTAAGAATATTCTGGTTTGGCCTAACCTCATTATCTGAGATATTTAAGATGAGTATCTCTTTGCAACACATTTACTTGGTGCTTTATTAACTCTTTATATTTACATTATAAGCAAACCCTTGTGGAATGTTACTGGCATGTGATCTATCACAGCTACAGGTGGAGAGGGAAACTGTGTACTCAGTATTAAGCTATGTTGCAGCTGGTTTGAAGTGTAGCACCTGCCTCTCTTGGTTGCCAGATCTTGGTATATGGTACACAGAAGCTTTTCATTCCCCATGGATGATTCTGGAGATAGCAGAAGAGACTGATGCACTCATCCTTGCTTTCAAAACTAGACAATACCAAAATAAGGTTTTTGGGAAAAGTTGGTGTGATGCTTCTTCGGGCAGCTGTTTCCATCCAGGATGGCACAGTTTAAAGCATTAATGTCTGCACAGTACATGGAGATGCCCAGAATCCCGCTGGCTCTGGCACAACACAGATGGAGTCTGTACCATGCTGTCCATCCATCATCCTCCTGCCCCCCACCTTTGGAGCATACCCTGTATTTATCCTAGTACTTGGCCTTTGGGGTGTCCAATTAGGAGGAGAGCTCTAAAGAACAAACAAACCCAGCAGATGGAAGACAACCATTTGTTAATCTTACCTGTAATATTGATTGCTCCGTTCACTTCCCAGTGACCAGTAAGTGATGGTAAGTGTTTGTCAATACAACAGGACAGCAGAGGACCACTTGCCTGCATTTCAGGACTGTTGCATGTAACATTGATGTCATATAAGTTTGGAGTGATGTATAGTGGAGACACTGCTATTGTTTTCGTGGCCTTGTATATCAGTGTGTTAAACTGATCACTGTTTGTGAAAGTGCACTTATAGGAACCTGTAAAACATAGGCAATATCTTAGCATTGAGAAGATGTTTTGCTGTTTTTTTCCTCTACATGTAGAATCAGGAGGTGGGAGCTACTTCTATCCCTGGTTTTCACATCTCCCTGCTCTGCAGTGGCTTTGCTACTTGCTAATTAAAATGTACCCTCAAGTCATCCGCAGTATGCTTTCTGCAGACTCCTGGTGCCAAATATATTCAAGTTAGGCAGCTTCAGTGTTGATGGGTACTTGAGAAGAGACCAGCAGTCTGGGAGTGAAATACTTAAACTCTGGCTGAGTTGCTGTTTTGGGGGTCTGTGTATTGCCTATAGTCCACATGGCAGCAATATGTCATAGTAAGAATATAAACTGACTGTGCAAAAGGTTCCTACACAGAATGGGTGAGAGATAGGTGTTCAGAGTGGAGTCCAGAAGAGCTAGCACTCCAGGTGTAAGGACATACGCTGCTCAGAAGGTATTACCAAAGAGCATGAAGTATTTATGAGCCACATTCTCAGGCACTTGTCCTCTGGATGCAGCCAGGCTTCCTTTTTGAAACTGGCAATCACAGCTCTCATCTCCCTTCATCCTTTGGGTATGTGGGTTCCCTTTCCCCACTGGGATAGCCAAGTGAGTAGGCCACTTTCATTGGAGTGGAGACACTGTGGTTCAAGGCACCCTTAGCCCAAAGAAATTTGGACCTATGGCTCCTACTTTGTGTATGTGTGCCCAAATAGCTGGTTACCGATTCCCTTTTTTGAAGTTGAATGTAAAATTTATGGTCCAAAGAAGTGAGTGGGAGCCTGAGTCAAAGCTCTGGTAATACATGATAAATCCCCTGAGAACTCCTCCCAGGAAAATGCCACAATTTAACTGGTTCTGATTTTCAAAAGCCCTAAACATGAACATGTAAAACTGTAACTGTGAGCTCTGATTGGTTAGGTAATGTTTGCAAAGGGGGCAAGGGCCATCGAATACAAATTCAACCACAGCCTCAAATTACCACACCAAAAGAGTGGGAAAGCCCCACAGCCATGTAGTCACTGCTGTCTCCTGTAATACAGCAGTGACGCCTGGCACTGAGAATACCCAAGCCTGTATAATCATTTCAGTCATTTCACATCTTTCTGGCAATGCCAGTCCAGTCAGTACATAATTCATTAAAGGTAAAAAAAAAGTACCCCAAAACTACGAGGGACAGTGGAGACCTCACAGCAGCTTCCAGTATCTACAGGGGGCCTGCTGGGATGCTGGAGAGGGACTCTTCATTAGGGATTGTAGTGATAGGACAAGGGGTAATGGGTTAAAAATTAAACAGGGGAAGTTTAGATTGAATATAAGGAAGAAGTTCTTTACTGTGAGGGCGGTGAGGCACTGGAACGGATTGCCCAAGGAAGTTGTGAATTCTCCATCCCTGGCAGTGTTCAAGGCCAGGTTGGACAGAGCCTTGGGTGACATGGTTTAGTGTGTAGTGTCCCTGCCCATGGCAGGGGTTGGAACTGGATGATCTTAAGGTCCTTTCCAACCCTAAGTATTCTATGATTCTATATTTTACATTTCCCCTAGGAAAATGCTCTCACTGCATTCCTCTTTGCTTTTTATAGAACTAACCACACTGGAAATTTACATCTGCTGTTTTAACAATAGAAAATCATACCAGAATCCTTCATCGTAATGCTGGCAATTTTAAGAGTCGACCTTGAGTTTTTCGTTGTAACTTTTTTCTCCATTGAATATCGCATGGAGGTTGAGATGATCTGATCGAAGTGATACCAGGTCACATTCTTAGATGTTGAATTTATCTCACAAATCAGTGTTACTGTATCCCCTTCAAAAATGTCTATAGGACTCACAATGAAGTTTGTTTGATCTGGGAAGACAAAGAGTAACATTCTTCATTATTGTCATTTCAGCTCACGTCTTTCATCTTTCATATGTCTTTCATCTCTGGGAATCCTAGGTGCTTCTCAGCTAATACACACTCAACATCAGCTGTAGGGCACTACTTCTGATAGAAGGTATGCAATTTTCCCTCAATATAGTCTTCTACTATCTTTGTCAGCCAAAGATCCCAGATGGTTTTACACAGAGGGCCAGAAATATTATCACCACCACTATTATCTAAGTAGATACATTTGGAAAAGAAGCAACCAGGTTGAAGTAATCCTCTGAGACCAACAGACCAGTGCTCAGTGCACTGAGAACACAGCACCTCTGGGCACTTGATCAGGCAACTGATCTGTAACACACTGTCCAGCAACAGCATGAAAACTTTCCAAGGAAGCTAGGTGGAACTTGTTCTCATGTCAACTGCAAGAGGTTTTGCTTTTGTTTGAAGATGTGGGAAGTGCTGGCAGCCTGATATGCTAAGAGCTGTCTCAGTCTGGAGGTGAACTTGACAGTATTCAAGCTCTCTCCCATGGATGTACTGCATAAAAGTTCAGTGGCATATCTAGAAGGATTTGGTTTTCTGTGCAAGGTATTACACGCGTGGTCATCTCATGTAAGTCCTAAGCTTTGGTGGTACAGGATGAAATGGAACAGCAAGAGAAGTAAATGGTTTTTAAAGGTCCAGTAACAAATCATCAACAGTATAAGGCAGCTACATGGTTCAGGCTAGAAATACTAAAGGTTGAAGGAAAACACTGAGAGAACTTAAACTTACTAGTTATTTCTGCTGTGTACGTAGCTGGGTTTAGCTGGTACGATGAATCTAGAAACTGTGGTGTAACTTTGTTGGCATCTGCTAGCTGTTCAAAGCTTACAGTTCCTGCTTTTACTTCGTAGTTCGCAAAAACACTTCCAGGCCTGAACAAACACAAGAACGAGAGAAGCACCAGAATTAAATACCCTTGCATTTTAGTGGTTTTCTATGTTGTGTTGACCCATCTTGTGTGACTAGGAAGGCTTCACAGGGCCCTCCTTTGAAGGCTCCTGATGTGACTCAAGACTTGATCTGGAATACATGAAGGTTATGCTACAGCTCTTCCCAAAGTAAGAACACATCTATATGAGATCTCCATTGCCTGATGTTAATCTCCATTAAACTTCTCTTAGATACCTAAAATACAGCTACATTTACATATGTGTGGACATAAATAATATCTCTGTTACTCAGATCCAATGTTATAGCCAGAGTCAATGTACTAACTCATCTTCCTGATGATCTAGGAAATGATATTAGGCTTACTCACATCTATTTCCCCTTTTGGGTGGAATTCAGTCTTTCCCATAAAAGGCTTTGATCCAGATGGAGAACAGTTATGTTTCTTGGAATTTTGCACAGTAGTGAATTTTACCCACAATCCTATTTCCATGTTAATAGTTGGCCTTTCTGTTGCAGCTATTATACTGTTATTCAGCATGTATATACCGAGTCGTAAGCCCACAGATAGTAGCCTTACGCCAGTGGCTCCTCAGCCAAGCGCAAGCACCAGGGTTAAAGCCCTTCCTGAATCTTCATTAGCGAAGACAGGCCTTCCTCACAGGAGAAGGAAAACTCTTATCTTCAAACCCGGGCAGATGGAGCTCCCCTAGCCTTGTAAGTTCTTCCATCGAAGAGAAGGACACTCTTACAAAACCTACAACCTGAGGACTTTGCTGTCACCGTCCTAGCTAGCTAGGCTGTGCCAGTTAAACCTCAGGTGCAAAGGGTGGGGCCAGTTCTGCACAAGCTGTGCTTCACCTAAAAAATCCACTGCGCAGGCTGGAAGGGCTCACTCTCACTTGTCTGTATGGACAAAACAGCAGGTGACAAGGTGCATGGGAAGCTGCAGATCCAACCTTGCTTGTGGGTGGACCAGTGCATGAGTAGCTTGAGATTGTTCAGGAGAAGACAGTCCTGGTCGAACACTCCCTGATTGCCTAAGCACCCTTTTTGCCAACCAGATTTGCATATCCCACATACTCTTGGTCATCGTGCTTGCAGTAAACTCGGTTAAAGCCCTTCCCAAATCTTTGCTCACGAAGCCAAGCCATCAATCAATCAATATTCCCAATGAATAATGAGGGACACCAGGCTTGAGAAAGAATATCCCCTGCTGTGTTGTTTGCATGCACTTGCTTCCCTTCATTAGGTGATCTATAGAAAAGATTAGTTACATGTGAGCCTTTTCAGTTAAAGTGCCATAGCTTTAAAAGCAAAAGAATCAAGCAGTAAACCTCTTCCAACACTAACCATAAATGAGTATTTAACTCCACGTGAGGACAAACCCACAGTGACCCAAATGTTCTGATGCATACTGCCAAACACATGCGTTGGTTATAGTCACAGGAGGAAGTTTCAGACCTACAGCACCAGGTTCTCTGAGGTACAAGGAGGTTAACACCCTCTTCAACACTCTCAATGACTTCCTTGGGAGCCAAACAAGCTCAAGCCTAGCCCTGGTTCTACACCAAACAGGCTGCATACCAAGGACTGGGTCTCTATAGTTTGGAAGAGGAGATTAAGGGGTGACCTTATTAGTGTATATAAATATATAAAGGGGGAGTGTCACGAGGATGGAGCCAGGCTCTTCTCAGTGGCAAACAATGAAAGGACAAGGGGTAATGGGTACAAATTGGAGCACAAGAGGTTCCACTTAAACCTGAGAAGAAACTTCTTCTCAGTGAGGGTGACGGAACACTGGAACAGGCTGCCCAGGGAGGTTGTGGAATCTCCTTCTTTGGAGACATTCAAAACCCGCCTGAACACATTCCTGTGTAACCTTATCTAGGTGTTCCTGCTCTGGCAGGGGGATTGGACTAGATGATCTTTTGAGGTCCCTTCCAATCTCTAACATACTGTGATACTGTAATATACTGAGTGTGGGTTCTAGCCAGAGTGAATGTAGTCTTTGCTGACTGGTGTCTCATTGAGACTGGACAGAAGGATTTGTGTAATTGTTTACTTACCTGAAACCAGTCACTGTTGCCGATACAAAGCCTGGTAAACATCTGTAGCTAGCATTAAACTGTAAAAAAAAGACATATCACATGATGTAAGTCTCTGTACATTGCTCTAGTCCTCTGTACATTAAAATGGGAAACTCTCCATTCCACACATAGCATATCTGATATAACAGGCCTGGTGTTTTTCTCTACTTTCATGGGATAAGTTTGTGTTGATGGTTTCATTCTATGTGTGCTCACATGGATTTAAACTGGGACCCATTATGTGATTTTTTTTTTTCATGCTTTTGATGCAAAACATTCTAAATACTTTTCTATTGACAAACATATTAAAATTAATGGAGATATTGTCATTGCCTTCCAATGGAGGTCAGCCTTTGCCCACTTTGTAGTTACCACTGCTGCATACTTGACAGCCACCCACACCCGATTTAACAGACACTTATGGTAAATACCATATTTCTTAGGGGGCTTTCTTCCTTCAGAGATGGAAAACTAAAGTCATTACCGCTTTTTCAAGGTCAGCTTTGTATTGTTTGTATAGTTTGGAAGAAGAATCCCTGAGATCATCCCGAAAGTCTGTGTCAAGTCTGACTGACATATTCATTACAATGGGCTCTCCCATACCACATGAATCTGTAAGGAAAAACATTCACATTAGTGTAAAAAACAATAAAAATCAATGCTTACAAAGTGATTTCTTAGCTTATTCTTCTAATTTAATCATAGAATTACAATATCATATAATGGGTTGGGTTGGAAGGGATTTTTAAAGAGTATCAAGTCAAACCCTCTTGTCATGGTCAGAGACATCCATCATGACCTTGAATACTTCCACTGATGGAGCAACCACAACTTCTCTGGGCTACCTCTTCCTGTGTCTCACCGTCATTATTGCAAAAAATTTCTTCTTTATGTTCAATGTAAACCTACCCTCTTTCAGTTTAAAACCACTGCCTCTTGTTCTGTCATTACAGGCCCTGGTAAAAAGTCCTTCTGTCTTTCCTATGTAGGATCATAGAATCATAGAATAGTTAGGGCTGGAAAGGACTTTAAGATTCCAACCCCCCTGCCATGGGCAGGGACACCTCACTCTAAACCATCTCACCCAAGGCTCTGTCCAACTTGGCCTTGAACACCACCAGGGATGGAGCATTCACAGCTTCCTTGGGCAACCCATTCCAGTGCCTCACCACCCTCACAGTAAAGAACTTCTTCCTTATATTCAATCTAAACTTCCCCTGTTTCAGTTTTAACCCATTACCCCTTGTCCTATCACTACAGTCCCTAATGAAGAGTCTGTCCCCAGCATCCTTGCAGACCCACTTCAGATACTGGAAGGCTGCTGTGAGGTCTCCACGCAGCCTTCTCTTCTCCAGGCTGAACAGCCTCAATTTTCTCAGCCTATCTTCATATGGGAGGTGCTCCAGTCCCCTGATCATCCTCATGGCCCTCCTCTGGACTTGTTCCAACAGTTCCATGTCCTTTTTATGGTGAGGACACCACAAATGCACACAATACTCCAAGTGAAGTCTCACAAGAGCAGAGTAGAGGGGCAGGATCACCTCCTTCGATCTGCTGGTCACGCTGCTTTTGATGCAGCCCCGGATACGGTTGGCTTTCTGGGCTGTGAGCACACACTGAAGCTGGCTCATGTTCATTTTCTCATCGACCAGCACCCCCAAGTCCTTCTCCATAGGACTGCTCTGAATCTCTTCTTTGCCCAACCTGTAGCTGTGCCTGGGATTGCCCCAACCCAGGTGTAGGACCTTGCACTTGGCATGGTGAAACTTCATGAGGTTGGCATCAGCCCACCTCACAAGCGTGTCAAGGTCCCTCTGGATGGCATTCCTTCCCTCCAGCTTATCAACCAAACCACACAGCTTGGTGTCATCGGCAAACTTGCTGAGGGCGCACTCAATCCCACTGTCCGTGTCAGCGACAAAGATGTTGAACAAGACTGGTCCCAACACCAATCCCTGAGGGACACCACTCGTTACTGTTTTCCCCTTCTAAGTATTGAAAAGCCACGATAAGCTCTCCCCAGAGCCTTCTCTTCTCCAGGCTGAACAAGCCCAGCTCTCTCAGCCTGTTTCCATAGCAGAAGTGCTCCAGCTCTCTGAGTATCTTTGTAGCCTCCTCTGGACTTACTCCAAAAGTCCCACATCCCTCTTGCACTGGGGATCTGAGCTGGATGCAGGACTGCAGGTGGGGTCCCACAAAAGCAGAGTAGAGGGGCAGGATCAAATCCTTCTACCTGCTGGTCATGCTTTTTCTGATGCAGCCCAGATATGGTTGGTTTTCTGGGCTGTGAGAGCACATTGCAGGCTCATGTCCACTTTTCATCTACCAGTATCTCAGTGTGTATGTTCTCAATCCCTTCACTCCCCAGCGTGTATTTATACTGGGGATTGCCCTGACCCACTTGCAGGACCTTGCTCTTGGCTTCGTTGAACTTCATGAGGTTTGTAGAGGCCCACTTCTCAAGTGGTCAAGGTCCCTTTGGATTACATCCCTTCCCTCTTGTGAATGAAGTACACCACTCAGCTTGGTGTCATCTGCAGACTTGATGAGGGTATACTCAATTCAACTGCCTATGTCATTGAAGAATATAACAGTACAGATCTTTGAGGACATCACTTGTAACTGGCTTCAATTTGGACATTGAACCAGTGACTGTAACTCTGGATGTGGCCATCTGACCAGTTTCTTGTCCATCTAACTTTTCATCTGTCAAACCCGTATCTCTCCAATTTATCAGCAAGAATGTTGTAGGGGATCATACCAAAGACCTTATAGAAGTCTAGGTAGATTACATATATAGCTCTTCCCTTGTCCACTGATGCAGTCCACTCCATAAGACCACTAGATTAGTCAGGTACAATTTGCCCTTGGTAAAGCTATCTTAGTCCTAAATCAAAATCTTACAACTGGCCAAGATTCATTTGTATAATACGAAAGTTGGGATTCTCCTGATTTTTTATATCTAATTTAGATGCCTGGCATCTGCTAGAAATCTATGCAAAACTGTGGACACCTTCAAAAGGTGATAAACATCTTTCCTACAATGGTTGAATTACTACATTGCTCTAGTTATAGAGAGTTTGTATGAATAACTTTGATCAAATACTTATCTTCCATATACTGAAAGTTACACAGGACGAATATCCACTATTGTTTCACTGAAATTAATGTAAAAATCCTCAGTGACTTTGGAAGGGTAATATTCTGGGTGAAAACCCACCAATGGGCACAAAAGAATATAAAATGCTTAAAGAGATACTGGAATTTTCTAAGTTGGGTTCACTTAAGGACATGTCCATACCATTCAGTGGAGGAGCATTGTACCAAGGGCCCTGGACTTCCAAGGGGTATGTGACTTCCACAAGGAAGAGATACTAGGTGTAGTTCTGGAAGTAGTACAGCAGTGTTGAAATGGGGCTGCTCTGTGATAAAAACATTGCCTCCAAGCAGAGTTGATTAGAACGGGCATGCTGACAGCACTGGACTGCTTCCAGCTCTAGGACTGCCTCCGGATGACTCTGCATGCTGCTCATCACAAATCAGAGGACGAGCCTCATGGGTGTTTGTCTTGGATTGCAGAGACAAGAAGCAGAGTTCCATCACAGTGCCGCCAAGCCTAAGTACTCAGTCATCAGTCAGGTTCCTAAAAGTCCATGGGCATCTTGTCACAAGAGTCATGAAATAAAGCCAGACAAAAGACTTGTGCTGGATTTTTCTTTCTTCTCTTCTCTTGAGCACTGTGGCACGCTTTGATCACATATGTAGGTTCCTCTGTTGAAAATCTGATGAGATGAAAATTTCTTTACTTAGCAGAAGCTGGAAGTCCTGAAGAGGCAGGAGAGTGATTCCAGGAGCTGGGGCTCCAGTATGGCACTAAATATCTGGAAGGACTTGGGTCAAGGTGGACCCACATCAGAATGATGAAGTTCAGCACTCTGTCTCCTTACCTTTAGTCTGTGGCTCACAGTAAGGCCCGGAGAAAGGCATTTCCTTCATGTAGCCACAGGGCAGATCAGATGCTAGGCTGACAGAAGGGCAGGTTATCAAGTCACGGCACACCGCACTTGGCCAGGCATATCCATCTTCACAGGAACAACAGCTACTGTTCTCACCACTGGGCTGACAGACTAGTATCAGACAGAGAAATACTATGAGAATGGTAAACATGACATTTTGTATTGCACAATACGTATTCACCCTGTGTACTTTTATGCCAGTGATCGCAACTAAATGTTGCCCTTCTTGTGAGTTCACTTGAATGATGTAAACATCTGACACCTTGCAAAACTTACTATACTAATGACAAATAACTAACCAGAAATGGGGACTAGACTGATACAGTGATAAGTCTAATTAATTACTTTTAAGTAATTGAAAGCAGATGTAAACTCTGATCACAGAAATTTACCTGGTGTGTTGGCCAGGGTCCTATGATAGTTTTCATATTGGGTGTTTCTATATTGCCTAAGCTGGAAGCAAATGTCTAGGGTTTTAAAGATTTTAAGAACAGATAATGGTCATTACATGGTGACTAGTGAGGTGCTGTCTAATTCTGTCTCCTGACAGATGCTGCATGAGAGAAGGTAACATTATCACAAAGTCCTTTAGCAACATTCTCTCTAATAAAAGAAATAAAAAATAAAAACATAAACCCCAAACCACTCTCAGTTTTTCGGTACCATTGACAAAATAAGGTATTAAAGTAATTTTCACACATTGCATGTGACCCTGAAGACCTCTAGAAGATCCATTTTCATGTTGTTTTGAGAAGCCATGAACACTTCCTTTCACTGCTTTATGGGTCAGATCATGTAATAAAACCTATTTGATATCTTGTCCAGTAAGAACATGGTTAGAGAGTTATACCAGGGAAAGACTGCACTTCATGCAGCCTATCTTGGTCAGGATCAGAGTACAGCCTCATACAGCAATTTATGTTTCAAATGCAAGTGGAGGGAAGTAAACAGTCTGATAACCACAGTTGCAGCTTCCTGACACTTGAAAGTAACTCAGACTGCCTGTTAGTCAAACTGGAGCAAAATCCTTTGGCTCAGGCTTCCTCTGGCTTTGTCCTTTCCTTAGGAAAAGAAAATCATTCAGGGCTATTCCTAATGCCAACATTATATAAAGGGGAGTGGAGAAATGCAGATAACAAAACATGCTGTTGTGAGCTTCAGTGTTCATGGGTCTTCCATACACAGCAGAGACAGTTCAGTTTTGCTGATTCCTAAGCATGATGGACTGCAAGAGATCAACTACTGGCAAAAAAAAGCATAATATATAAAAGAAAAGCAGAATATAAAAGTAAATAACCAACCCACCTGTGGTAATGTTGATGTTTGAAACTGCCATTTCTACATTTGAAATGTTTGTTGAAACTGGAAGATTAAGATTTTTGAAATAGTCTTTGACTGGCTCCAGGAAAGACGAATCTGTAAGGCTTACTTCAATGTCAACAGTGTACTCCAGAGGGGGAAGGTCAAAAATAAGCACTGAAAGAAGAGAAATAGCATGAGACTAAGCTGTGTGTGAGGGAAAATCAGAAATTGATAGCTTTCATTTCAGGCATTTGGGATCTTTGTTGCTTAGTGTGACATTCTGCTTAGGAAATCTTGTTTCCTACTCAGCAGATATTGTGCATGTTTTATCTGGTGCTCGGCTGACAAAAGGCATATATCTTTGGTCTTTGGAAAATAGGAAGCTGATACAAATGGCATAATAGATACACAAAAAAGCTGACCCATCCTTTCTCTCCTTTGACTTAGTAAGTCAAAGTACCTTAAGAGGTGCTGGCCCCGATAGTGATTTCACCCTTGGCTTACTAGAATTATGCTGTTACTGCATGTTTGTGTACGTACTGTTTCGCTTCTGCCTTTGCATCTCTGATTGGAAGTTTTCCTCTATTAGCTCACTGTCAATCTGTGGGGGAAAAAAAGAGAGTGAAGCTCTGTGAAAAACAAAGTGAAGCTTTAGCTGCTGTTGTTGGCAAAGAATTGATGGAGAATGTATGTAGATAGGGTTTCTTCCCTCCACCAATTTTAGCCCCTCCTAGGATTTTCTCTTTAAGCAGTATGTGTGTATCTTCCATGTAGGAAAGTAAGGCACCACCTGAGGGATGTACTGAGTGTGTAGGTGTCTTTTTGCATATTTCTGTAAGGCAGTTGCCTCAGCTTAGCAGGAATTCATCAGCTAAGGAGCTGATTCAGTGCTTTTAGTCCATGGCTAGCCTTGCAAACTTCTTGGGAAACATAACCACTTAGCCTCTGAATCCAGAACATGGACTCATGCCACCCTCTGCTTTCCTTTTTGCTCTGAGCTTCCAGCTCTGCAGCAGCAAAGCTAACCTGAGTAGGAGTAGAAAAAGGTTTGAAATGCCTTGGCTCCAGCTTAGGGGTCAGGTCAGCTATTCCGTGGGCACAAGGTTGACTGGGGCAATGGTGGCACAATTTCAGGATGACTGGGTTCATGCAGGGTGCAGCCAAGTGAGATGCAGACCATTTTATTTTTTTAACCATGCCCTAAAAATACACTGGCACCACAGTTTGCAAGAAAGGCTGAAGAACAAGCAAAGACGCAGGCAGGAAATTCACAGCTTTGCCAGTTTCTTGATCCCTACTGAAATCTTTATTTACAGAAAGGGTGAATAGCTTGGCAACTCTTATGTAATCTCTTTACATAAAAGAACCATCTGGTGTGTGATTAGAGCTGGGCTTCATATTGCAGCTGTGCTGGCAGTGAAGATCCCAAAGTGCTCTGGCAGTTTTGCACTGTTGGGGTACTGCTGTTCACCCCAGAGGTTAGCTAAGAGAGTTACAGAAAGCCTGCTGTGACCCATGTGTTTCTCCAGGTTTGGACTAAGTTGTTTCCCTTTTCAGTTATTCTCCCAAACAAATGCAGGGTACTGCTACACGGCTAAATACTTCACGTATTTCACAGCATTAAATGATGACTCATTTGCAGGTTGAAATAGGTGTCAATGATGTTGAAAAACAAGGTGTTACACTTAATGAAAATGCCTAAGTGCTGAGATGGAGAGAGTTTGGAAAAACAGAGCACATGAGATACTTGGTCACTATTACGCATCTGCCAAAGAGCAGATCAGGCTGCTGGCATCAGCTGTATCTTGGCTTGCAAAGAAGAAGGATTGGTGGCAGGAACAGCTTAAGGAGTTCCCACCTTCCTCTTCAAGTGTGCGTGCCTTTTTTCAACCTGCTCAAAAAATTACACTGTGCTCTGGTCAGTCCATCAGAACTAAGGTCCCTGTGGTGCTAGGGCTAAAAACAGGTGTTGGAGTCCATTTTGGCTTGGCATCTTCATAATGTAGAAGATCAAAGAAGCATTTTCTGGACCAATAGTAATTGTGATAGACCAAGAGTTGGTAGATTTGTACATTAGTTTTCCTTAACAACCTACATTAACTTCCACTTGGTCATACCATTTTTTTCTCTGTTCCTTTTTTTCTTTCCAGTTAGGGACTATTCGTGCAGAAACTGTCTGTTAATAAAACCATATACAGGACAAAGCACAAAATGATTTTTCCATAGTTCACACTATTGATGAAGCAAAAACAGTATGGGAAGATTATGGGGTAATGAGTTAAAACTTAAACAGGGAAAGTTTAGATTGGATGTAAGGAAGAAGTTCTTTATTGAGGCACTGGAATGGGTTGCCCAGGGAGGTTGTGAATGCTCCATCCCTGGCATGTTCAAGGCCAGGTTAGACAGAGCCTCGTGTCATGGTTTAGAGCAAGGTGTCCCTGCCCATGGCAGGGGGGGTGGAACTTGATGATCTTAAGGTCCTTTCCAACCCTAACTATTCTATGATTCTGTGATTCTATGATTATTGAAAAAGTGGGAAGCCGAAATGAAGTCTGACTGCAAGCACAATGCCCAAACACAGGTCTCTCAGGAGTGGCATTTTGATCATCTACTTGTCCTATTGTCAAGACAGTGGTAAAACTCCTGTCACCTACATGTAAGCACTTCCATGCCTGAGCTAGTTTTGTTGGCACACCACTTCTAGGCAAGATTTGTTTGATTTCTTTCTCTCACAGGACAGGTAAATTCCACCCAGGAGCAGTGCTCATGTAACTGTTATTTAGCTCTAGGGACAGCAATTTAAACCCTTTGTGGAGTAACACAAGTGAGAAATCAGTTTTGCTCAATCCCTTCTGGAGAGGAGTAAAACTGGGAAGAAAGGAGACCCCAGTTCCTGGATTTCTCCATCTCTTTTACACCCTGGGTAAAAGTTTCCCCACCTGGTTTGAGTTTCCCCACCTGATCTTATACTGACTTTCTCTAAGGTTTTGTGGATAAAAAGGAGAGCTATTGTAGCTGAGTGCTACACCTAGAGACCAAATGAAAACCAGTGGGGCTGGGAAAGGATACTCACTACATATCGGATGAATGGCTCAAAGTTTGAGTCTTGTGATGTCTGGCAACATGCTGTGACCAGTAGAAACAGGCAGTGGAGACCTTCAGTAATCAGGGATGGCATTTTGTCCAGTGACTTTGCTGTACAGCCTGAAAAGAAAATGAAGCAAAAGCACTAGGGGATTTTCAGCCGACTCACACAGTAGGAAACACCACACACTCTACAAAACCAGTGTGTTCAGACTTTTTCAGCACCATCTGTTTGACTGCTCCATCCAGGAAGAGCATGGAACAAGCTCTGCCACTGTCACCAGACTGTTTCCCTCATCTCTCATTTTTTTCACATCAGCTGTACCTACTCAAAAAGGAGGGAGGAAGAAATCACCTGGAGAAGGCAGAGTCACAAGTAGATTAATAACAAGGACAAATGAGGTGCTAAAAATTCATCTGCCATGAGAAAAGTTGACTTGGGATCTTCAGATATTTCTCACAGTGGTATTTGGCAAATGCACAGCCAGAACATGAGGGAATAGTCAGGAATGTTGCTGTGCAGGCCTGTCCTGCTGCAGCAGGGAGAGCTTTGCTACCAGCCATGTCCCACTCTGGAGAGGGCTGTAGTAATTTCATGGATTCAGACAGAGATTTCTGTGTGTTTGTTACCCCTTGGCTAACAAGAGAAACAATGAAAAGTGATATCTTCTTGAAAAAATGCTTGTAATTCTGAATTTTTAGCATACATCTCCATTAATTGCGCTGAAGTTTACAAATAGATAACCTAGAATACAAGAATATTGACACACCGGAACAACAAAGCAAGAAATCAAAAAAATCAGACAACCAAAACCCAGAAAACCCCAACCTTTTCCAGCTCATTCATACCTAAGCTAATTTACTTGCACAATAGATTGGATGATGAAAGAGAAAGGGAGAGTTAAAACATGCATGAACCCTAATTACAGGTCTTGATGCATTTCTGCAACCAAATGAAACAGAAAGCAGATGAAGAATACATAAACATATGTATTTTCCTATGAACATACACTTTAAGATTATTCCTAAAACCAGAGGCAAAACATGCCTCTAGCACACTTTCCTAGCTCCAGAATGAACAGGTAGTAAAGAGGTACAGGAAAAGGAAGAAACCAAGTAGATTATGAGAATCATTTTAAGAAAGGAAAGCACTGAGAAAAGACTCAATAATAGTACTGAACAGTACCTGAGTGGATAACATCAGCTTCATTAAAATAATGAGCTGTGAAAAGCTGTGAATCACTAGGGGAAAGCAGAAATACCAGCACCTCCTGAGATGATAACAAACATTGGCAATGACTGCCAGTCGCCACCATGTTGCATATCAGAGCTGGGGCTCACAAGCAGACAGGGCGCTTCATTGTGAATTTACAGATCAGAAGAGCCCATGATGGAAAATTACAGTATGAACATAATCTGAGCTCTCACCTTGTGAATGGATAGAGGACAGCAATGAGCTTATAGCCAACCAATATGCCTGATGTCACTGACGCAGATATCCAGCAGGGACGTATCAGTGTTTCTCACCAAATGTGGCTCTTTGAGCAATTCATCTGCAATGAGACTTCACCTGGATACTGATTAAAAGATAGGGGGAAAAAGCAGGAGGAAATAATTTCCTTTTCCAATAGAGATATGTCATCACCAGAGCTCTGCAGGACCATGTGTGTAAGCCTGTGTCTTACCCTCAGTTCCCAAGTGAGTTGAAAAAGGCAGCGATTAGTGATACAACACTGCGGAAAACTTTAAATGACTGAGACTAAGAAAAGCAAAGTCTGCCTGTGCAGACTGCATCGGGATCAAAGATTACTGAGTGACTGAGTTATGAAGTCCAGGGAATTCAGCACTGAAGTATAAGGAAGAGAGAAATGAACCTGATGTTATGTATACTCTGATGGACTCTGAGCTGACTATTACCACTCAGAAAATGGTGTCTAAAGAAATGTCAGTGGAATTCTGAGATGCAGTTAAAAAAGGAAAATTAATTTTAAGATATTCTAGGTTAGCAACAGAGAGGAGGGGAACAAAAAGAAAGGGGGTGGGGGAACCCAAACCCACAAAAAAAACCCAAATCCTATAACCTCCCGGTAGTATCTGGGCATTTGAGCTCACCCAGCGTGGCTGTTCTTATGCTTCTATGTAGGGATAACCAGAAAGTAAGACATCTCGCTGTTTCAGATCATCTTCCCACCCCACCCTAAAATCCATTAAAAGAAGATTGTTTCAGAAGATAGATATATATATATATGTGTGTATATATATATATATCTTAATGCACTGGATGAATGGCTGTCAGAATTGGGGGGTGGGGAGTGGTAGGGACAGAAGCAGGGAAAAGTTTCCTAACTTTTCTGGGCACATCCAGCACTGTATCCAGCATTCCACAAAAGACACTATTTTGCTATTTTGAAGACATTATCCACCTGTGACAACCTCAAACTTACATGGATTTGGCTAATCCCAAGACCAAGATGGATCAAAATGATCAAGAGGGAAACATTGTCAAGTTATAAGCTGTGACACAGATCCTTAATATAGTGACATGACTTACTAGTAGAAACACTAATAAAAGAAAGATTGCTGATAGTTTTGTATATGCATGTATGCTTCCAGCATATGGTACATCAGATTAATCTGCACAAAAAACTTGTTTTTCATTAGTAAGGTGTTGATGGAACACATGACAGAAAGGAAAAAAAGCCATTAAACACAATTTATGATGAGGCTACACAGTATCTGCTATAGTTTTGCATGTATCGCTCGCACTGTCCACGAACTTGCATTCATATTCAAATGTTGTGGGTCAGCCTCTATTTACAAATGCACCCTTTGTGCAACCATGTAGCTGAGACCAAACACCTTGTTAATTGAGAACTGTGCTGCTATTCAGGCTTTGATAGCTATTTAAAAGTACTCAAACCAGTATCTAGAAAGTCAGAAAACTAACAAATATCAAATTGCAAATGAGGGAAAATATAAATGTTCTTCTCAAGTAATGTCCTGCTCCCCTTGTTCATTTAATTTTTCATTGAAGAAAAAGAATTGCTGTAAGCTTTTCAGTGAGCAATTTCTTAAAGTACCTATCTACCTTCAGTTGGTAAAACAGAAGATATGGGGACACATTCATCATTTCTCATAAAAACTGACACCTGGGAGGAAATAAATACCTTCCACTTATTAAGACCGCATATGCTACAGAAACCCAGGTTTGCTACCAAATCGCATCTCCACGGCATTCAGGCTAAAAAATGTTTAAAGTTAACTTTAAAGTGCAGAAGATTCCTAGAGGTAAATAGCAACTTGTCATTTTAACCCAGGAGAGAGGTGATCTACATGACCTTCTCCTTACTTTTTTCTCTAAGTTTCTTTTTTCCATGAATGTTGCAAAATAATTACACCCTCTTATAAATCACAGTAGAAATATCTTTTAGATAATAAAAAATATCTTTTAGAAAATAAAAATGTTACCTGGAGATATAATCTGTTTTACCTTCTCAGGTGATTCAAGTTGAAGACCTTCTAATTACATCCATCTTAAACATCCTCTGTTTCCTGCTACAGCCCAGTCTACTCTCTCAGAGGGAAACCAAGACACAAGAATTCGTATAATTAGCTGAACATGTTATGACCAGAGATGCCACTGCAGAAAACCCACAAGGCATTTTAAGAGGAGCTGTTTCCTGATACCATCCATCAGGTAGTATTTATTAGTTCCCCCTGCACTGATCTAAGTCATTCAGGTTCTTATCTGCAGATTAGTTTATCAAGTGGACTAACTTGTTCTGCTGCTATTACTCACCTGCTTTCTTCTAACAAAACAAGGTGTTTGAGGACTGAAAGCAGTAAAATTGTGTTTTGCAGCTATGTCTAAATGTCTGTGGGTTTGATTAAATTAAAAACAGAGGAAAACCCTCAAGTTTTCCCATATGTGCTAGCAGCATGCTTGCTATGGGCTGGACCTAGAAGGCACTAGTGACATGCGTTGATAACCTCGGAAAAGGGTATGCAGACCTATGGCTCTGATAGCTACTCTGAAAGGTGGGGAAGTGCAGGAAAATCCTAGAAACCAGGGGAAACTCTGATGTGTTACTGATGTTTCTACCTTGAATAGAATCTGGAGCCATGAAACCCGCTGCACAAGTGGGGACCATCTGTCCAAACAACAGCGGGGTCCTTGTCCCTACAGTGTTTTATCACAGCTGGTTTATCAATGGAATTTCTTTTCACAGCAATGTGTGAGACAGTGATTCACTGAGCTCATGTAAAGTCCTTTGGGAAGCCTGGGGTTGATCTCATGTTGTATTCCAGACTCAGAAAAAAGATGGCAAAACCTCTCAGAAGCTGGATGCAACACTGCAGGTTCTTATTCCATTTGCTGCTCTCACTATTTTGGACTCTGAATTCGCATGCTCAGCCTCTCAGAGAGATGTGTTTTAGAAATGGAAGGACAGAGTGAATCCCGAGCATATTTGAACTAATAGGCGGATTACTTTGAGATAAAAAGTTTGGGACTGAATCTGGCAATGCCTGGGGCTTCATTTATCATCTCTCTCACATGACTTGTAGAAAAGAATCTGGATGAAGTCCCAGCAAATTGCTACCTAAATCCACTCAGCGAGATGATTTTGCAAATAAGGCTTATCTAATTCTGAAGTATTTTTAATTTAAGACCTGGAAGGTAACGAAAGTGCTCTACTTGATGCTCTTGATGCCATGGCTGGAGTGCTGTGTCTGTATGTTGCTGTATCAGATAGCATCCAAAGGAGAACCATGTGAATGCTAAGACATGAGCAGAATACAATCTTGTGAATAGGTTGAAGGTTGTTCGGTGTAGTCAGGACAAGACTCAGGTAAGGACACAATAACTTGTCTGTCACTTGGTAAAGGACTGACATAAATGTTCACAGCAACAGCTAGGTGAAGGATGATCTGGAATCATACAATCTGAAGCAAAGTTAAATATGTCGGTGATTATGGAAGATGTGTAATTGTAAAGGTTAGAAGCACTGAATACAGCTACCCAGGGCAGCTGCAAAGTTCCGTTCACTGGACGGTTTTAAGAACAGGCAATAAAATTGCATAAAAAGGGGCACCAGGTAGATGGTTTATTGACCTCTTCCAATTACCTCAGTTTCTTTACAGTGCTTCTATTTCTGTGCAATCAGTGAGCTCAAAACGATTCAGAGACATGCAAGACCACTGATCTTTGTACTCAGAACTTAGTTTGGACTGACTAGGGCAGTGATCATCACCCTGTACTCAGCACTGGGGAGCATGCACCTCAAATCCTGTGTTCAGTTCTGGGCCCCTCACTACAAGAGCGATACCAAGGTGCTGGAGTGAGTACAGGGAAGGGCAACAAAGCTGGTGAAGGGTCTGAAGCACAAATCCTGTGAGGAGTAGCTGAGGGAACTGTAGTTGTTTAGTCTGGAGAAAAGGAGGCTCAGAGGAGACCTTACTGCTCTCTACAACTACCTGAAAGCAGGTTGCAGTGAGGTGGGGTTGGTCTCTTCTCCCAGGCAACAAGCAATAGGGCAATAGGAAATGGCCTCATGTTGTGCCAGGAGATATTAGGAAAAATTTCCTCACCAAAAGGGCTGTCAAGCATTGAACAGGTTGCCGAGGGAAGTGGTTGAGTCACCAGCCCTGGAGGCATTTAAACACGTGTAGAAATCGCACTTATGGACATGGTTTAGTGGTGGACTTGGCAATGCTGGGTTAACAGTTGAACTAGATGATATTAGAGGTATTTTCCAAACTAAATGATTCTATCTTAGACAAGTTCAGGAATTCCTTTCTGGACCGGCACAACATTTCCACTGATTTAAGTGCAGAGCAGGTGAACTGTATCTACAGCCTTATCAAGAGTTTCCCCAAAATGATATTTCCAGAGAGGGGCTCTGGTTCACACCCTTTTCTACATCAAGTCACATTTTCCATCCTTATTTACTAAGAATATACTTTTCCTTCTTGACCTATGACTTTAAATTCCTCTATTCCTCCCCCTGAATTGGTGATGACCTTTTAACATACTGAAATAGTCTACATGGAAAATTAAAATAATTAAGTCCAGCTATCTGCAGATCAGGCTTAAATCATAGCATGACCAAGCAGGGTTTCCTGCAAGGAAAAATATAGCTCTGCAAGACTCATGTTTGCACGGCACAATAACTGAAATAGGAACGACTCAACCAGATAACTGAATTGTAGCACTGACTAGTTTGGAAAAGACCTTTAAGATCATCAGGTCCAGCCATTACTCCATCACTGCCAAGACCACCACTAAAACATGTCACCAAGGGCCTCATCTACATGGTATTTGAACACTACCAGGCATGGTCATTCCACCACTTCCCTGGACAGCCTCTTCCAATACATGATCACCCTCTCTGTGAAGAAATTTTTCTTAATATCCAACCTAAACTTCCCCTGGCACAGCTTAAGGCCATTACCTCTTATCCTATCACTTGTTACTTGAGCAAAAAGACCAACCATCTCCTCACTCCATCCTCCTTTCGGGTAGTTGTAGAGCGATAAGGTCCCACCTGACCCTCCTCTTCTTCAGACAAAGCAACCC